AAAAAACTTATTTTGCACATGGGTCCTGGTAGGCCTGTAATGTTCCTGACAACTGCCAACGAGAGGCTGGTGGTGTCCCTACAGGCCCATGCGGTGCCCTTGCGAGGCCGGTGGTGCGGAGGCCGGTGCCCGTGCGAGGCCGGTGTGAGGCTGGTGCCCTTGTGAGACAGCCTCAGGCTCGGCCTGAGGTTGTCCTGCGGAGGAGGATGTGGCCTCTTTCAGCTGGGAGACGGACGGCGCTGAGGTATCGTCTGTCGCCAAGTGACCGCACGAAGCGAAGGCCTGTGGTGATGCCCTTGGCAGGCCTGTGGTGCACCTTCTAGGTTGCTGGTGCCCTTGGGCTCTGACAGGACTGTGGTGCCCGTGACAAGCCTGAAGTACCCCCGACTGGCACTTGGTGCACCTGACAGGCCCAATGTGTCCCTGCGAGGCTGCTGGTGCCCTTGCCAGGCCTGTGGTGCCTCTGTTAGACCTGCATGGTGTCCCTCGCAATTCCATGACTCGCGGCGCCCGGTAGGGGAGGGGGTGGGGGCTGGAGAGCAAAATGTTGCGGCACCACCTTTTGCTCCTAAAATGTTGTCGATATTCCGTAACCACGATTGCAAAATGAAAATCTTGAAACAAGCTCCACAGGATTGCTAAATGCTATTGATTTATCGATGCGTTCGATGTATTATGAATAACCCACTAAAAAATAGTACGATATTATTGGTAACGTGTGGAATGTGAAGGCCCTCTTTGGCATAGGGGGCACACCCAGCCGTGAGAGGCACACCTATGCCTGTGACGCCCCAATGTTTTTTTTTTTGCCCATGGTAGTCGCACTCATAATTGTGAATTTCTTGATATAATTGTGGGCATGAAAATTCTCGAGTTGGTGGATAACATGAGTCATAAATATCAAATATCCCTAGTTTTTATATCTCGGACTTTTTGTATAAAGTGACCTAAGCATTGGTGAATTTGTATATCATTTGGGGAACTTCAGCACCCCAAACGCTAGATTCAGCACCCCTAATAAGACTTGAGCACCCCAACAGGGGCACCCCACAGGTCACAGCAGCACATGCACGGGACGGTTTTTCGTAGAATATTTTGCGACTAATGGGATTGATGCCACAATCTTTCACCTACAACACTATTCTATACGATTATTTACTTTACGAACTTAACGTTACGATCTTTTGACGTACGTTATTTTACAGCATATACGATCTTTATCTTACCATTATTTTCCTACGATCTTTTTCATACAATCCATTGCTTTACGATCTTTTGCTTACGATCTTTGGTCGTACGATCTTTTGTGACATACGATCTTTATATTACCATTATTTTCCTACGATCTTTTTCATACCATGCATTGCTTTACGATCTTTTGCTTACGATCTTTGGTCGTACGATCTTTTGCGACATACGATCTTCATCTTGATCATTTTCCTACTATCCTTTTCCATACTATCTTTTGTCTTGCGATCTTTTGTCACGAAATCGTTAACTTCATCGACGTGCGTGCAGGGGTCCGGACCTCTCATATATTCGCCAACTACCATGTTTAATTTGTAATCTAGAGTACATGGCTTTCTGTCCCCGACTGGCGGCCTTTTGACCTGGGTGACGGGCGAATTACCCTATTTGCAGTTGTTTCATAAATTACTTCCTAGCTGGTAGCCCGATCACCATTGAATGAATTTGAGAGGTGGAATTTAAAATAAAATGTCCAAAGAACCTACTGAGCACAAATGTGACCTTTCAGGTGATGTTGAACAAAAGTAAATTATCACCCTATGTAAAGCTTATTTCCATGGCATGCGCGCGCTTGAGTTATTACCGCCATCCTGACAAACCATGACTCATATTCTAATGCACCTGCCCGCAGTCGAAGTCAAGGCAGTTCATAGACGACTACGAATTCGACTCCGACTCCTTGCTCGTTGACTTGACTCCGTGCAACTCCGACTCCAACACCGAAATCAAGCCCGAAAGAAATTTCGGGTATATTCTCTTTGTTAAATTGTGCTGCAAAAGGGAGTTTGCTACCCTACTTCAGCTACGTGGTGCCATTTCGAATGATCTCTTGTCACTGATGTGACAAATAAATCAGATGATAACATCTATACCGCTATACCTACATGCGTGCCGATTATAATGTGCTGAATGAGAAGATTGAGCGTCCAGTCATGCGGTGTCCGGACCGTGAGAAAAATAATGTAGGACATGGGCGTAGCTGAGCCGATCTTCACTGCATGCACCGGGCGATGCGCGCAACTACTGAGCCCGTCTACAAAGCGGCTGATCGGCGCGCTGTAGTGACCGGCAGATTGGAGAGGAAATGGATCTCAGGATACAGATGACCTTAGTCTGGGGATAGATATGAGCGATCGAGTCCTACATTCTTACATACTAGCACATGGGCTGTGAAAAATAACTATACAATACCTTAGGCCTGTATGCTTCTAGCAGGTAGGCGGGTAGAACCCCTAATCCTAAGATGTTTCAGCTAAATCAACTGGTCATCACTTCGAGCTACGGCAGATAGAAAGCGATAGAAGTCATTGAAGCAATATTCTATAAACAGGCGACATTCGGCGAGGCTGAATCGGACGATGGAGGACGCAGCTCCTTTTTGTAGCGTTTACCGTTCCTCCCAGTCCCACCATCCACCCGAGCCGACCTTCTTGCCACCTGGTGACAAAAGCTGGCAACCACTAGTTTGAATAGGTGTCGCTGTAATCAGTCAGACAGTGAATTCGGACTGCTGCCACCCAGTGCAGCTGTCCTATCGGTTGATCGGAATAGAAAGACATGAAAGCCGAGTGCTGAAAACTGTTTTGACGACGGTACAGTGTCCTGTTGATCTGGTTACCATACAAACCCCGCCCTGGATCGTATCAGGCTGACAGACACCAATCCAGGCACTACCAGCGTGGTGTCACGACCACACTGCCAGCACATTTCGCGAGCTGTCAGATGACGTCATACTTGTAGTAGTGTTGGAGCTATCGGGTTGTTGATGTTTCCATGGAAGGCCAAATTGCCACGTGTGCTGGCAGCGGCTGGCAGCGTGCCTGGAAACACCGCCCGGTAGAGGGCCGGCTGATGCAGGAACACTCCGCTCCGGACCACCACTCCGCTAAATTAACTTCTTTCCAGTTGTAGCCTATGTAATCGCGCTGCTGCGTAATGCGTATGTAACTGAGCTGAGCATTCAATGCATCCGGTGCAGTGCGATGCGGTGCCTCCCTCCTCCCTTCCCGCATCGGAGCTCGAGAGCCGCCTCCCTGGAAGAAGCATGAGGTACTTTTAGTTTGAGCAGCGCCGATAGGTGTCACTACCAACATGCGCCTGAAGCTATACTGCACCGCAGTGCCTGGCGCATCTAAACTGCAGCGGGCTTGAAAAAAGCGGACTTGTTCGCTGTTCCATTGCAGCTTAGAGTGTAGTGTATGTACAAGTGCAACTACTGATGGTTTGCAATCAGGGATGCGGAGCCGTGGAAATTTCAGACGGCTCCGGCTCCGGCTCCGGCTCCGGAGAAAAAAATCGGCTCCGGCTCCGGCTCCGGCTCCGGGTGAAATGTTGTGGCGGCTCCGGCTCCGGCTCCGACTCCGAGTAAAATGGTCCGGCTCCGGCGGCTCCGGCTCCGACTCAGTACATCCCCTATGCAATCAATTAAATACGGGTGGAAGAAAAATTGGATTGGTTATACGCGTTACTCTTTGCCATGACCGGCTCACCGCGTCCCCGCGCAAACGCACCTCGGAGAGAACTGGCAGAACAAAGAACTAGGAAGCGATGGCATTGGAAACGCAGTCGCCGCGAATTGGAGCTCACTGAACCATCGTAAGCTGACACCAGTCTCGGCTGCATTGGGAGTGGGAGTGGGGGGGGGGGGGGTGGGGGAGGGGAAGAGACGGTGCTGGGAGTCGCAGTCCACTGCACTGGCTTGAAAACAATGGCCGTCACCTGATGACCGGTCCTCATGCTCTCCGGGGATGCAGTAGACGTGGGGGGGGGGAGGAGCAGACAAGAAGTTGATTGCGTACTGTGGGATACTGGGGATATTCGGCTTTTTTCATTCACTTGATGGCCCATGACGTAAGTAAAGTACCATATGTTTTACTGCCTTGTACTGTCAAACCGAACTAGGTCAATTATTTTTTTCCTCTTCAAAAAATAAAAAGGAGCCGGAGTCGCCCCCTTTTTTGGCGGCTCCGGCTCCGGCTCCGGCTCCGGGCTATATTGTTTCACGGCTCCGGCTCCGGCTCCGGCTCCGGGCAAAATATGCCGGCTCCGGCGGCTCCGGCTCCGACTCCGGCTCCGGCTCCGCATCCCTGTTTGCAATTCAAACAATACTTCTCATCGGTTAGTTTTTTGCTATTGATTTGAAACAGCTCTATTCAATTGAGCTAAATCCACATAGCTCAGTTGGTATAGAGCTCCCGATAGGCGGTGGTGGGAGCTCGGGGTGGAGTCCCTGCGGCGCTCGATGAATGAGACTCGACTGATGCTCGTGGTTAGTGGGTGCAGCCACATCCTGCTGAACTCAGTTCGATGGCTTTCCATTTTCATTGTTTTGTATTTCGAATGTCCAGCCAGAAGGATTTCAAGCACTTGATGGGCATCTAACAGATGCACTAAATGTTAGATTCCTTGAACATGTGTTGAAAAAAGCACAACATAGTGAAATGCTTATATTTCCTCCACGACAAACACCAACCGGAGATACAAAACGGCGCAGAAGCAACAGAACACTGACTGGTGATCACGAACGAATCGCCGAACGCTCACTGATAGTGCTGCCATAATCCGTCTGCGTCCGATCGCAGCGTCTCCGGGCCGCTACGGGTCGTAGCCGGCCGGAGTCGCTCTGCCCCGGCTCCCTGCGCCGTCCGTCCGACACGGCGCCGCCGTACCGGGGTGACGGGCCGTACCCAGCCGGCGGTACCGTACCGAGGTGACGGGCCGTACCCGGCGGGCGGTACTGTACCGGGGTGACGGGCCGTACCCAGCCGGCGGTACCGCCGTACCGGGGTGACGGGCCGTACCCGGCGGGCGGTACTGTACCGTGGTGACGGGCCGTACCCGGCGGGCGGTACCGCCGTACCAGGGTGACGGGCCGTACCCAGCCGGCGGTACCGTACCGGGGTGACGGGCCGTACCCAGCCGGCGGTACCGTACCGGGGTGACGGGCCGTACCCGGCGGGCGGTACTGTACCGGGGTGACGGGCCGTACCCAGCGGGCGGTACCATCATACCCGGCGGGCGGTACTGTAACGGGGTGACGGGCCGTACCCGGCAGGCGGCGCAGCGCCGGCAGACGGCGCAGGAGCCGGCCGACGCCCTGCCTCTGTCCCAGCCGCGATGGGCGGCGTCTGTACCAGTCAGACACCTCCACCAGGCTCACACGCCCCGACAAAACAGCAGACGGTAAATCAGACCGGCGACGAGCGCAGAAAATAGCGCGCAACAAAACGCTCGACGTAGCAAACGTGCGAGGCTGCGGTGCGGAGCGGAGACTAGCGTAAACAAACTCGAAAAGAAGCCGTGCTGGTAAGCGTTGCAGGATGGCGGTGGCCACGGAGGCGGGTGTCCCAGCTCGGCGAGCCCAGAGTATATAGGGCGAGCCCCCGTCGCCAGACTCACGTCACCAGTTATAACGAACTCAACGAAGGGTGCGGTATAAACATTACACAGGCATTCGTTGGACGGGATCGTTTGATAGAGGACATTTGACGGGCTAGTGGCTGGACAGGGTCGTTTGACAGCACTGGGTATTGACGGACTTTAGGCTGGACGGGATCGTTTGACAGTATTGGACATTGAGGACTCTAGGCTGGACGGGACCGTTTGGTAGCACTGGACATTGACGGACTCGCGGCTACCGATAAACACATAAGGCGGTATCTCACTGTAAGAAGAGCATGAGGACGGGCGACATGCGAAAGAGGTCCGAGCCAGGAGCTGAGGATAATCTGTAACTATGATACCTCGACTAAAGCGAGCGCCGATTACACATTGCCATATACTTCTCAGATGTGTACATAGAGACTACGTCTAATAAATAAGATTAATTTAGCCCAAATAAACCTTAATCTGAATCAGATTTATATTAAAAACATATATTTAATAAGTACAGCTCACATCATGGGTGATGACTAGATCACATATTGTAAAAGAGGACATATCTATATCATGACTAACTTTAGATCTTTCAGAACTACCACGAATTTTTGACTGTTTTGTATAAAAAGGCAAACTGAAACAGCATTCATTTTGCAGCATAAAGTATGACCGGGAATAAAACATTATTTGTGACAACATGCAAACCGCTATGTGTGAGAGAGCCATGCCACTGGTGCGGGTGAAAAACTGTCTCACATCTAAGTGCAGGCCGGTGAAACAGATCTACTCTAATGACTACCCACTACGGTAGGAGCTTAAATAGCATATTCAACGCTCTCCACAAAGCACAGGCGCACCATCACGTCGAGATGCCTTACAAAATAGAGTTTTGTGAGCCACAAATCTCCGGCGGACGGCTCGATTACCGACAGTGCGCTCTGAAAATATGGCTCACATCTCATCCTATTTACAGCGATCACGTTTGTACTTGCACATAACACTTGATATTCGATATGGACGGATTCGATAGGGCCTTAGTCCTCCGGGCTGGACGGATCTGATAAATATACACACGCAACAGCACACACGAAACCCATGCAGAGGACACATCACACAGATCACAACTGACAGATCTGGACTGATAAAGCACAGTTCACACCGCACAGGACCCAGCGCACAGCTGAGCCACTCGCCAGCTCAGCTCACACAAATTCACTGAGTCACTCGCCAGCTCAGCTCACACACCCCCACTGAGTCCCTCACCAGCTCAGCTCACACACACACACTCCCGACTCGCTCGCCACTCCCAGCTCGGGTCGGTGTGACGTCACCTCTGAGTGACGTGACGTCACACTCATGTGATTATCAGCCGACTGACGCAGTGTTCAGAGCTTCATCACCAGCTGCGACAGGACACTGGAGTAGTTGTGTTCGACGCTCAGTGAGGGCAGGCAGATGGTCTCCCGGCCGCCGCCGGGGATCTGCACCACCGAGAGAATCTGAGGACAGGGGACACGGGACTGGGTCAGTCACTAAACACCACACCACCGAGAGAATCTGAGGACAGGGGACACGGGACTGGGTCAGTCACCAGTCACCACATCACCGAGAGAATCTGAGGACAGGGGACACAACACTGGGTCAGTCACTAAACACCACACCACCGAGAGAATCTGAGGACAGGGGACACGGGACTGGGTCAGTCACTAGTCACCACACGGAGAGAATCTGAGGACAGGGGGACACAGGACTGGGTCAGTCACTAGTCACCACACGGAGAGAATCTGAGGACAGGGGACACAACACTGGGTCAGTCACTAGTCACCACATCACCGAGAGAATCTGCCGACAGGGGACACGGCACTGGGTCAGTCACCAGTCACCACATCACCGAGAGAATCTGAGGACAGGGGACACGGCACCGGGTCAGTCACTAAACACCACACCACCGAGAGAATCTGAGGACAGGGGAACACGGGACTGGGTCAGTCACTAGTCACCACACGGAGAGAATCTGCAGGCAGGTGGATACAGCACCGGGTCAGTCACCTGTCACCAGTCACCACCGAGAGAATCTGAGGACAGGGGGACACGGGACTGGGTCAGTCACTATAAACACTACACCACCGAGAGAATCTGCCGACAGGGGACACGGCACTGGGTCAGTCACTAAACTGTGGGAGAATCTGAGGACAGGGGACAGAACACTGGGTCAGTCACTAAACACCACACCACCGAGAGATTCTGAGGACAGGGGACACGGGACTGGGTCAGTCACTAAACACCACACAACCGAGAGAATCTGAGGACAAGGGGACACGGCACTGGGTCAGTCACTAGTCACCACACCACCGAGAGAATCTGAGGACAGGGGACATAGCACTGGGTCAGTCACTAAACACCACACCACCTAGAGAATCTGAGGACAGGGGGACACGGCACTGGGTCAGTCACTAAACACCACACCACCTAGAGAATCTGAGGACAGGGGACACAGGACTGGGTCAAACACTATTGTAGTCACCACACCACCGAGAGAATCTGAGGACAGGGGACACGGGACTGGGTCAGTCACTAGTCACCACACGGAGAGAATCTGAGGACAGGGGACACGGCACCGGGTCAGTAACTAAACACCACACCACCGAGATAATCTGCCGACAGGACACAGCACCGGGTCAGTCACCACGGAGAGAAGGCGAGCGACAAGACACGGAAAAGGCTAGCTAACGCATTGGGAATGAGAACTATTCAAGTGAGCGCGCCAATCGTAAGATACAGTAATAACGTGGCATGCATGACACTGCAGCCGTAAGCCCCCATAGCTGACGATAGTGGTATGCCGCCTCGCTTTCGTAACGACATGCTAACGGCTGAGGAGCAGAACGCTGCTCCGTATCCAGGTCAGGTCTGCGCGAATGCAGTTACTGCTACTCAGCACGAAAATCAATACTACGCTGGTTCAGGAATGGCTAATAGCACCAGTGATGCCATCCACATTTTTGCTCCATCCCAAGATCTCGACCAGAATTTCCCAAGATTCTCGTCTCGAATCCCAAGAGTACCCATCGCATATCCTTAGGAGTACCCCAAGTAAATCCATGGCTTATTTTGGACATATTAGTGTGTTTAGTATTCAACTTTAACTTTCTCTTCTTTGGGTCCACCCTTGTCCTTATTGGCGTCTTTACAGCAGCTAATGTACGGCCCTCCAGGTATTTAGTGGTTGGTTGCCAACATCACAAGCGATCTGCATTGGCGAAAACGTCTAATGGCTGTTGAAAACCATTGCCGAAGTGTGTGCACGAACCCTCTTCTCATTTATATTGAGTCATTTTACAGGAGTGTCTCTGTCATTGAAAGTTATTGCACCAAAAGCACATATAGGCTAACCAACCACTCTTTTGCTGGAGGGCCGTACCTAGAGGCCGGGGGAGGGGAGGGGGAGGGGGTCGATCGGACTCCTACAGCTGATCGGTTCCTGACTGAGTATAAGAGCTTCACGAAAAATGAAGATGCTGGCCTAGACAACATGAAGCCGGTGGTATCTGATATTATGGTCAGATCATTTGTCGACCGTCAATGGTGGGTCAAGGACCCAAAACACAAAGTTCGAATCTGTTAGAACTTCTTTGATACGAAGTCTGTTGCATTTTGGATTTATTTCGAAATTTGTCTCATGACACATTTGGAGAAGCTAGGGTCAGGTGACTGGTGAGGTCAGTCTGATTTTTAGTGTTTTCCACCACTGAGTTTTGAAATATGGGCTCCAAAACAAGCTCTTAAAAGCTTATGTGAATCCCGAAATCGAAAAGCCTATGCTTTGAAGCCAGTGCCCGCTGGGGCCCATGAATTTTCAAGCCGACGATGGCGATGGGGTCTTAACGAGGACCTAACTCGTCCCCTGGACTATATAGTTACAAGACGTCAGCAGTGTTGTGAAGGTCGCAAGGTTACGCTTTAGTGATTATTTTTGGTCCAGCAGAGCCCAGAGGTCAGGTGACCAGACACTTTTCCGAGGTCAAAGACAAATTGCCCTTATTTTGGTTCGCGGTCAACGGATAAGCCTCCATAGAGCAAAACCGTAAAATGAAACGCTTTGTGCGGGAGCCGCTTTCTGAATTTTTTTTTTTAGGCATGATGTTTGTAAAAGCTTTTCATAGCCATCCAACATCATGCCGCCAAACGCCAAACCACCCATCCCCGTTGATCGGTAGTTGGAAATTAAACAAATGAGCGCCAGTTGCGAACAGCGACTGAAAGCTGCTACTATACCCATAACAAGTAATGGTACAAAAATAATCCTGCGATCTCGGGAAGATAATGCCTGCAAGAAACATCGCAAGCTTCGTCCGTTACTTCAATATGTTTGAATGCTATTAACCGTCCGTGAGGCAAATCCATCCTAAATTTACTATCGACCAAGGAAAAAAGCATTCGACAGCATAAGAAGACAAAGTGAAATCAGCTTCTGCCAGATCCCAAGATATGCAGCGCAAATCACAAGATCCCAATGTTAATGTTCAAATCCCGGATCCATGCGATTTTGGAGCCAATACAAAGTCTATGGGAAAATGGTTCATTTTTATTTGTTTTTCTTATCACACCTAAACTTTCAGGTTTTTCTCAAAGATACACCCTGATTCACGTGTAGAATTGATTGGTCTTCAATATGGTATCAATTTTAGATTTTTATCGGATAATTTCAAAAATTACTTACCATTTCAACTACAAAAAGAGGTGATTGCGGCTAAGCATTGTGCCAGCCATATCATGTCATTGGGAAATTACGCTTTCTTGTGCATCTTCATTTTAACTGCTCTCGAAGTTGGTACCTACTGGATGATTCATGCGTAGAATTTGTTGAACTTTTGTCTTGTGTCACTGTTAATGCCTTTATGAAATAATTATTTCGCCGGGGCGAAATAAGTCATTTCGCCCCGGCCGACATGGACGCCGTTGTGAGCCGGTTTTGGCGTCGGGGAGAGAGAGAGAGAGAGAGAGAGAGAGAGAGAGAGAGAGAGAGAGAGAGAGAGAGAGAGAGAGAGAGGCGGAGACGGAGACGGAGACGGAGACGGAGACGGAGACGGAGACGGAGACGGAGACGGAGACGGAGACGGAGACGGAGACGGAGACGGAGACGGAGACGGAGACGGAGACGGAGACGGAGACGGAGACGGAGACGGAGACGGAGACGGAGACGGAGACGGAGACGGAGACGGAGACGGAGACGGAGACGGAGACGGAGACGGAGACGGAGACGGAGACGGAGACGGAGACGGAGACGGAGACGGAGACGGAGACGGAGACGGAGACGGAGAGAGAGAGAGAGAGAGAGAGAGAGAGAGAGAGAGAGAGAGAGAGAGAGAGAGAGAGAGAGAGAGAGAGAGAGAGAGAGAGAGAGAGAGAGAGAGAGAGAGAGAGAGAGAGAGAGAGAGAGAGAGAGATAAAGACCAGGGGCCATCGGTGAGGCGGCGTGCCCGCACGGGAGCTCCACGACAGGTACTGGGAGCGGGCTCGCCTTTTCCTCGTGGTGACCCATCAAGGCTGGGCGGCGGCGGTACTAGTTTCGCAAGAGACAGAGACATGGAGCGACTCGGGACTCGTCTCAGTCCGGCCGCCACCCAGCCGCCCGCCGCGCCTGGCCGGGCTGCTGCTTCGCCGGCCGGATGGCGCGGGCGGCCCTCCCAGCTCCCGCCCGTCTGGGATGCGCTCCCCATCCGCAGGGCGTCGGCGGCGCCCAAGAGGCACAAGAATAACGGCGTTGTTGCGGGCGGCTTGTGGGGTGACGGTGCCGCGCTCCTTCCCGGCTCCTCGCCGTCCGTCCCCCCTCCCCGGTGCCGTTTTCTTCCAGGGGAGGTGCCCCGGCCGCCGTGCCGGGGCGTAGCGCAGTCCGTGCTTTAAGCACAACAAAATATCCACCCAGGCTAGATTAAGGTAATGACAAACTAGGATTAAGAGGGGCTACAGACTTCAAACTTTATGCAGACTGAACATTAAGATATTATATATGCAACTAAATGACACACATGGTGTTTGTTCTAACCTTCTCAACAGAAAGTGAACATGTCAGGACAGCACCCCTTGGTGACCATTATACTCAAGGGGTGTTGTAGGCACTGATTCCCCAGGGGTGAAGTGATAGGAGCACAAACATGAGTCACTAGTTAGCTCTGTGTCTTTCCTCCTGCAGGAAAAATATATATTTGATGCCCAATGTGACTGGTAAGTGGTAACTGCATATTATAAAGCTGGAAATATTGTACAAAGTTATGACAACACAAGCAAACAATGCATGTTACTGCTCTTGTTATTCCTATATGAGACCTCACAAGGCACAAAAATATGCATGGTAAAAAAGGGAGCAACAATACATTTCAAATGTAGCTTGTCATTAAAATGATCATGGATTTCACTACATCAAAAGTGAATGAAATTAAGTGATAATCAAAGACTCTGGAAAACAAGATCACAGTGGCGGCGGAAGCAGGGGGGCAAGGGGGGCAGCTGCACCCTAAAGCTATGGAAAGGGGCGCCTCGAAAATCTGCAGAGGAGGCAGGAAGTTAAGAGGTGCGGCAGCCATAAAGCTGAGCAGTGCGAGGCGACACCGCAACTGATAAAGGCACTTGTGACACGAAGAGGGTGGCAATGACGTGGGAAAGGTATATTTTGATATGCTGAAGAGTGGAGGGCATCCTTATCTGAAACAAAGGCAGATGCTGCCGACCCTGTCGAATATAATCTTGCCAGGCGATAAAGGCTAGGAGGGCGCAGCTACTCGAGAAGCGCGCCATGCGGAAGAGGGGCGCCTGCATGCGAAAGAGGGGCGCCTGTGTGTGGGACGGAAAAGAAACATTTATGGAGACGTCTTTGAAGCTAATAGTACTTGCAGAAGGAGTAAGTGTTCTTGGCCCTGGTCGCGGTATGTACGGTCGATGGGTTAGCCATACACCTTCATGCAGCACGAGTGAAAATGATGGGTCAGTGAACCGACGAACCTATTTATGCTTAGGTATTCAGAACTCTGCAGAACTTCGCCTGCGCTCCACACGATCACGTGTATCCCAGAACTTCAATGGTACGTAACCGCTTTGTCCATACATCAAATTATCAGGCTACGCAGTGTCACACTACGCATTTGCCAGTCATGGATTTACCATAAATGTACGTGTTGCAGTGTCCCACAGGTCAGGCCCCAGACTATCTATCGAACCACCTGCCAGCGGCGAGTCGCCCGGTTCGCTCCCCACTGCACCGGCGACTCTCCCCTCCCCCTCTGCCCCTGCGCGGGCTCCGACTGCATCCCCTCCTAATCCGATGTTGTCGTGATCGACGGTCGTCGGCGGCCATGCCACCGACTCGTTACCGACGCTACCGATCGTTGTCGGAGGATGGGGCGACATTGGACTGAAACTCCTGATCGGTCGGCGGCCGGCGCGACAACACTATAGGCTGCTCAGATCGGTCACCGGCCGGGGCGACAACACTAGAGACTTGGGCTGCTCAACTGCGAGAGCCGATCGGTCACCGGCCGGCTTGACATGAACATCAGAAACTGAGCGGCTCAACGAGAGCTGATTGTGTCGGAGGTCGTCTCAACACTGCAGATTGTCTCAGTGTGGACCACCCGGAGGTAGTAGTTATTTAGGAACTGTCCAACTCAATGTTGAGCTCACGGAGGTCGCCTTTTAAACTGATCCTTTATGCTCAGTGTCACCCAAAAATGTCGCACGATATCCCTCAGCAGACTGCTGGTCACGAAAATGATCGTCGATCGTTCTCAAAACTCGTCGCGCTGATCGCGAGCTAGCCGCAGGTCCAAACACTATAGGAAGCGGAAATACCCGATCTTATCATTATAGCAGAGTCGAACCGGATTAATAAAGTTTCGATCCATCCTTTCTCCCTGTCCATCGTCCAGCAGACCTCTCTCATCTCGTCCACCTCCACCCTCGCCGTCTGAGCCGGCGTATGACTCACAGGCGCAGGAAGCATGACTCATCCGAGCAGCTGAACACTCAAAAGCCCGAAGGAGCCGGAGTCTCGCGGCTCCACCGAGGAGCTCAGGCAGCGTGCTCGATACTGGAGGCAGCCGGCGACCCCGGCCGGGCAGAGACAGCTCGATGCAGCGACCCGCGGCCTCCTCACGGACCGGGGAGGGGCGCCGCCGCCGCCGCTGCTGCACTATTTATACAGGCGTGCGGTCAATGGTAGCACGCGCCGCGGTCCCTCGAGCTGCGGCCATCGACGGGCGCGGGGCGTGTAGGTACTGAACCAGTCCGATCATCAGCCCTTCAATGGTACACCGGTGTACCGCTGGGCGCTGGACACGGACCGGAGGTACGTACACCGTGGTCACAAGGACCTAACGACAGACCGACAGACCAGGCAGTACTCACCATCACCGTTCCATGCTTCCATCCTCAGGAAACTGAAATCCTTCTCCTCCACGCCGCAACCCCCCTCCGGGCTGGACAGGCAACTTTATCTCATGCGGGCTGCTCCCTTGGAGCGGCACCGCTGCTCCTGAGGGAGCGCACCCCGTAGCCGGGTGCAGTGAGTGCCTTGGGGCTGGGTGGCCTGTCCTCTGGACGGGCTCAGCCCCGGCGACTCACTAGGGTGCCTGCCCAGACCAATGTCTCCCCCTAATTCCTATCATCCTTCCGGCTCTGCAATGGTCTTGTCGACCGAAAGGGCCTAACCCAACAAAACAAACAAACAGTACTCACCACTCAGTAGCGAGCCACCAGACCCAGCCGGCCCGCAGACCAGAGAGCAACGAGACGGTAGCCCAGCCGGCCGACCGACCAACGACCAGACCAGCCAATTCACTGACTACTCAGCAACCAACAAGGCACCTGCAGCTAACCGACCAACCAGCAAACCGACCAGTCACAATGCCTATCCAACCAGATAGCCAGGCAGCCAGACAGCTAGTCATTCTATCGAATTCACCTGCTTTCAGTCAACTATTCTGATCAGCGTTCCGACTGACTGATCGTCCTGACCAGCCAGCAAACAAACAGACAGACGGACAAACAGACCAATCGACCGACGCACCGACCGACCGACCAATATACCGACCTCACCTTTTGACCGACCAATCATTTCTCACACCGACCGGCCAATCATTCCGCACACCTTCGGGTCAATGACCACAGTCGTGCATTAATTGCTAACCAGAGTCGGCTGCGCCCGTCCGCCTGGGCAGGACAGGGGCAGGGCGGCCCTGTCGGTCGATCGACGTACTGTCGACACTGACAGAGTACCGTCGGCGACGGGGATTCCATTACGTGACGTCAAAGGGCATAGGTCGTGCTGATTAGAGAGAGAGTGACAAGTGTTTACCTTACACAGTTCTCATTAGAGTACAGACAATGTCTTTCATTATCTCGAGCTTTACTTCTCCAGAGACATGCCTTTTTCAGAGCTGTGGAGGCGCCACATCAACTCAGCGGCATCACGGCCGGTGCTGACGGCTCAGCAGTCAGTCGTAGAACCTGTGCCTGTATGTACAGAACATGTAAAGAACCAGCTGTTCGTACCAGCACCCGCACAATGAACCACAGAGCCAGCCCAGCTTGCCGAGCCGGCGCCCGCCCGTTCACCGGCCGCTGATCGGCCTTGGCAGTGGCGGTGACACCACCTGCGCCCTGAGCACGGGCCGGCCGGCTGTCAGGCGCACTGACAGACGTACTGACGAGGGGCACGGCCACGGGTGGGGTGGGCGCTGCTTCCGGCCGGTACCACCGGCACCGCACGCCACGCGGGGGTCAGTCACCCCAGATCAGCACCTGGTGCTACCGACATATCGCCAGTGCGGGGTACCGCGGGAATACAGCGTGTCGGTACCGGTACCGATGACACACCGACAGTGCGGGGTACCGCGGGAACACACCGTGTCGGTACCGGTACCACTGACAGACCGACAGACAGGGTACCGCGGGAGCACACCGTGTCGGTACCGGTACCGATGACATACCGACAGTGCGTGGTACACCGTACCGGTACCAATGTCACTTAAAGACAGACAGTGCAGAGTGCACCGTGTCGAAACCGCTACTAGTACTGCCGACAGATCATATAACACCAGATCCACTACCAGCGATGCCGCACTGCAGTGCATTTCTGCAGTGGGTAAGCTGTGGTCGTGTTGCAACTAATAGGAGCCCGCCGGCAAGGCGGGCGGCTCCACACAATTGCAGCTCTATGGAGTATGAGTCGCAACTCGCAGCCGGTCCCGTCCGGCCGACGGCAGATTGCCATGTGGGTCCGAGGCATAGGTCCATCACACGCTGTGGACTCCAGAACGGTCCGTCCTAGACGTTGAGCCTCATACGTTCTGAGTCCCGGCTCACCAGCGGCCTCAGTGGCGTGACGGTGGGCGTTGCGGGCGGCGGCAGAACAGACACCACTAATGAGCAGTTCGGAGCCCGCCAACAGAGAGATCACACCGCGCGATGGCCTGTCACGTGACTAGATCACGCTGTCGGGCCTTCATGAGGAGGCAGATAGGGTCTCGCACACACCGCGCGGCTGACTGTATTTACAATTTACATCAACACTGACCTGCGTGCCCCGGCCGGCGGTGGCTGGTTCGGTATCACTCTGTCTGTACTACATATGTACTGACCTGCGTGCCGCGGCCGGCGGCCGGCGTGCCCGGCTGGCTGGTCCGGTACCTTCATCTGTACTGTTCCGGTACCTCTGTCTGTACTCTGTACTGACCTGCGTGCCGCGGCCGGCGGCCGGCGTGCCGGGCTGGCTGGTTCGCTCCGGTGCCTCCGGTACCTCTGTACCTCTGTACCCGGTACCTCTGTACTAGAGATGTCAATCGGATACCAACTTTTTGGTATACCGATACCAAACCGATACCAACTTGGTATTTGGTATTTCAATCGTAATGTGTTTGGTATTTTGTTGGTATCGTAAACCCTCACTAATGTATAAGAGGCTAAGAAATCGGTAAAAAGTTGGTATTTCCCTCATTTTCCCAAGTTGGTTTGGTTTTGGTATTTTCCCGTGGTTTTGGTTGGTATTTGGTTTGGTATCGGTATTCCGATTTTCCGTAATTGACATCACTACTCTGTACTGACCTGCGTGCCGCGGCCGGCGGCCGGCGTGCCCGGCTGACTGGTTCGCTCCGGCAACAGCGGAAGGATGGGGTCGGACGCGGCGCTCGACATGTACGGGTCGTCATCCAGAGAGACGCGCGGCAGCGTGGACGTCACCTTCTTCGGCCTGTCGAGGTCACGGGACGGACGGTGTCAGCGCGAGAAGGGCATTACATCCGTGCGCACATAAACACGCTGGGAATCAACAGCTCGTCTCATAAAAAGACACTTTTTGTTAAATTAGACACGCCTATTTATTATAAAGTAGCACTTCCACTGTCTGTATCTGGTGTTTGTGCTCAAATTCATGTTTGCCGTCTATCACTATCCAGTCTACTCCCCTGTCAGCCCTAAAATGTCTGTCGTCTCGACTTCTGCTGACCTGCCGCGTTTGACGATGGCCACGCGGCGCCGCTGGACGCTCGGGTCCACGCCGTCAAACAGCGAGAACAGCAGGTCCGTGTTGCCGACGGTGAGGCTGCGGGTACGCTCGCGGTCCGAGCGGTCCGGCGGAGTGATGGGCCGCACGTCTGCCGGCGACCGGGTAGAGCGGGCGTTACCGTAGAGAGCACAGACACACCAGGGAAGGGCGGGGGTCAGCGTACCGCACCGGTCAGAGCGGGCGTCAGCGACCGGGGAGAGCGGGGCGTCAATGTACAGCCGTAAATGTAAAGAGTTAGTGGGACATCGAGCAACAGTCCACAGCTATGATAAAAAAAAAACATTCGGTTTCGCCGCTGGGACCATGTGTGGCCCATGTCACAGTCGCCCATCCAGCCGCCCCCATATGCTCACCGCTGAGGTCCTGCGAGTCCCTGGCGGTGGTGACCAGCGGCGGCAGGGCGGCGCTGCTCGGAGACGTGCTGTTGGCGTTGGGCTGCTGCCAGAACGACTGCGGCAGCGCCCTCAGCTTCATCGGCAGCGGCTCTGCGCGGAAACACCGACAGGGAATTCAGCGATAGGGAGGGAGCGCCGGCGATCAACACAGTCAGAGACACCAGCGGCCTACGCACGGTGAGAGGCACCGCTGGGTCAACCAACACACAGTTAGAAACACCGGCACCTATCCGTGCTTCTATCCTCAGGATACTGAAATCCTTCTCCTCCAAGCCGCAACCCCCCTCCGGGCTGGACAGGCAACTTTATCTCATGCGGGCTGCTCCCTTGGAGCGGCACCGCTGCTCCTGAGGGAGCGCACCCCGTAGCCGGGTGCAGTGAGTGCCTTGGGGCTGGGTGGCCTGTCCTCTGGACGGGCTCAGCCCCGGCGACTCACTAGGGTGCCTGCCCAGACCAATGTCTCCCCTAATTCCTATCATCCTTCCGGCTCTGCAATGGTCTTGTCGACCGAAAGGGCCTAACCCAACAAAACAAGCAAACAAGAAACACCGGCGGTCGACACAGAAGCACCTGAGGCCACCGCACAGTCAGAGACACCAGCTGGTCACCCAAAACATAGACACCAGCGAGCGGCCTACGCGCGGTTAGAAACACCGGCGGCCCACGTATGCGGTCAGAAAAAGGCACACGCAAACACGGAATGCTATTGCTGCACCCCGGTCGATCGACGTCCGCATTATCGAACGTAACCAAGTGTCAAATGACATCATATATTTTCATCGTGAATGTTTGCTGGAGCATTTAACGTTTCACTCATCAGCCCGAGTCCCGATTTATTGCCATTTTCACCGATCGTTCAGTGATGGAGCCCCGAGCTGACGGCATACCGTCCCGATTGATCCTGACATTGGACACGGTCGCGCGTGTTTGTCATATTTCAGCGGCGTCCCCCTCCCCGAGTGCACGGCGCGACGGGGGGGGGGGGAGTGCAGAGGGGCACTGTATCGGCGGCCGGACAATAACCGGCATCACATGCGAGCCCGGCGGCGACTATCGACCCCTGCGCGGCGGCACGGCACGCGGCGACAAACTGTCCGGCCAGGTGAGCGGTCCGGCCCGGTCCGCGTGCGGACGGCGCCGCGAGGGCCGGAACCACGGGACGCCGGGGCAGGACCGGACGCCAGCGGGGACCGGCCAGCGGGGCTCCGGGCGTTTCTGCATCGGACAGTACTGATGGGTGTAATTTTACAGCGCACCACTGACAACCCCACGCATGGGCGTGAGATCGGGGATTGCTGGTAGCGAGAGAAATGATTCATGAAAAGTCGAGAATGACTAGGTGGCGTTATATAACGGCAATTTGCCATTCAGGGCTACTGCGCGGCGGGACACTGCAGCGGCTCCTTTCTGCTGCGTAGTGCCAATGGCTGTTAGCAAAGTCCCACTGCTGACTCAGAACCAACAACAAGCGCTCCCCAGGGATCGGAGGTCGCGTGCACGGTGACATTTTGTTATGTAAAGGGACCGAGCCTGCCATGCAAATTGTAGCTGGGTCACGTTGCTCGTACAAATAGACTGGAACGATTAACTAGCCGTACCAGCCCCTAAATTGGATACCTAGCAGTCCAGTCCATGTGTGTGCCAATACCGCTACTTGGGCTCCAGACTCGGAGCACGACGTTGTCTGATGGGCCCATTTTGGGAACTGTCATTGTCAGAGGCTGTCATTGTCTTGCCGTTTCCAAAATCTAGCTAGGTACACGTATGACGGGCGCCCTAAGCTTCTCACCGGTATCAAAAGCAGTGAGACGAGACAGACATTCCCATCTTCAGACGAATTACCTATACTTTTCCACGGCCGTTTGAATTGAGTGAACTCCGCGGACATCTCTTCATTCGATATCACATTTCCAAAATGTCACCTTACCAGATTATATAAATTATATAGAACGTGTTATATGCAAAGTATGCTAAGAAAACAATGCTAAGATTGTTCAAAATTGCTCAATATAGCACCGGTTTACTTTAAGCATTGTAATTGCACAAACTAATGTGGACCCGTTCAGTCGCTATGGCAAGTCAACTGAGAAAATGCTCTGAACAATGAGCAGCGACAGAGCTGAGAAAGGCAGACTGACTGACTAACTGACAAACTGATAGACAGACCGACAGCCAGGTATACTGACAAACAGACAGACCGATAAACAGACACGCCCACAAAACACGATTGTCCGGCCTGTCTATTGTGGCTGGCAGCTGAAAGGCCTTCTCGATTTCTAATCACCATCAGGCAGCCCTCCAAAGGAATGAAAGGAACATTTACTAACGGATGGATCGTTATTAGTTATGTTACATTCTGCTTATTCTGTGTCCTGTTGATGTCCAATCCAAGGTAAGTGTCAGTGTGCTGTAGCCTGTATCTGATAGCCAGAATATGACTTCAGGTAACGTAACCTGAAGGAGCGCTCGCCGCTCAAAACGCTAGCAATGAAAAAATAGGTATACAGCAAGACTTACAAAAGAGAACTGAGATGAGGATGCTGAAAAAGGTGGAAGAAAGAAAGGGAGAGAAAGAGGGAAGAAGGAAGGGTGAAAAGAGAGGGAGATTCGTTGGGAGGATTACAGTGATGAATGGGAAGGGTTGGGCGAGGAGAATTCTACGGGAAGTAGGGAAGTGGAAGCGGAAGAAGGAGAGAAAAATAGCAAGAGCATGAAATGGAAAAGGACAGAGAAGAGAGAGAGAGAGAGAGAGAGAGAGAGAGAGAGAGAGAGAGAGAGAGAGAGAGAGAGAGAGAGAGAGAGAGAGAGAGAGAGAGAGAGAGAGAGAGAGAGAGAGACGGAGACGGAGACGGAGACGGAAACGGAAACGGAAACGGAAACGGAAACGGAAAAGGAGACGGAAACGGAGACGGAGACGAGTCGGAGAAGGGAGAACCCAACGCACTTCGACTCACCTCGTTTGTACCGACTTTTAGGCGTCAAGAGAACAGACTCGTGGTCGTCGCTGACTTCCGCCTGCTCACACAGTGCCACCTGGTTCTTCTTCTTCTTCGGCTGCGTCTTCGGTCGAGCACCAGAGGTTTCCCGAGCACCTGGCCAAAGGCCTGACCCTGGAGGAGGCTGGGAAGCGCGCAACTCCTCCAGCGCTTGCTCGCTGCAAACGCTGATGGTGCTGACGCTCCCAGGTGAGCCCACTGATTCATAGCCAGTGTCTGAAGTGTCATGTTTGCTGTCTGCCGTCCGTCCCACGTCCTCCTCATCACTCGAAGCGTTATTCGATGCTGTGGATGGCTTGCGCTTACCACTCATAATTCACCAAAGGTGCAGGACAAAAAAGCCGGCACCAAACGTCAAGAACCGGACGAAACCGTCATGGTTCGAGACGAAGAAGCACGATAAATCGATTCCACACATCCGGGTCGGCTCAGCCCTACTAGAATCTCACTGTCACATTATACGGCCCCACTTCGGTATCACAAAGGCATTTCAAAGCGCAGTACACTATCAAGCGCACCTCACTCAACCACGCACCAGCCACGTTTACAGGGCCAGCTGCTCATAGCAACGGAGAGTTCTTTTGTTTACGATCAGCTCACCTGGTTGCTAGGCGTGACGTCACAATCGCCCGGCCAGCCGTCTGGCTGGCTGGCGGGCGGGCGGGCAGGTGACGCGGCATGCGCCGCTGGCGAGCGGCCAATTACACTCGCCCGGCGTGAGCGGGATATTACAAGTCCTCAGACGTCGAATTCTTCAAAATTTCTGCGAATTTAGTGAAACGTAAACACCGTTCAGCCGCCCATCATCGTTTCAGAATCAGAGCTTAGTCTGGCCCTGCGACACGAAAAGTTACACACATCGCTCCTGACCCTCGGGGTTACGTATCTCGGGTCGCCGCTGGCGGCACGGCTCAATCGATTATGGTATTCCAGGAAGCCGACGGCATCGAGCGCTTGGCATTCCCATATAAATTGCTAGCAATGCACATTGAGAGCTGACATCGATAAGGGGTGATTCATCGCTAATCTGCCAAAGACATGGGCACCCGGTGGCATAAGACTGAGAAATGAGCAGATGTTGAGGCTTGTGATGCGGGTGGATTCGATCCTACCATATTGAGATAAATTATGTAGCAGTTGCGCGGGAACCGGGGGGCTAACGGGGGCTGAGCCTCTCCAGCTTTTCGGCTGGGGGGTTCGTAATGTACCTTTTTGAGCCCCCCCCCCCCCAGCTGGAGGAATCGAAATCGGAAATCTCAAATCTACCAGCATAATTTCATAGATTCATACATAGGCGCGGGAACCGGGGGAGGGGGCAGTGGGGGAAGCTTGCCCCACAACTATGTGGTGGCCGTGGGGGCGGTGCCCCACAGGCCACAACTTTTCATGAGGCCAGGGCCCAGGAACCGTTGGGCAGCTTGTCCTCCCCAAATTAGGAGTCGTCCGTCGTGGGTCACAATATAATTCACAATATAATTACCCATTATTTTTCACTTACATCTACATGCTTTCTTCCGTTAACGAAAGAAAGCATGTAGCCGGTAAGTGAAAAATCCACCCCTTTCGCTGTATCGGCAACTCATTTGGCAGATTAAAACCTTCATTCCAGGTTGCCAAAACGGTAGATAGTTTCTTCACTCAGCTGAGACGGAATACCTCACTTTTTTGCAAATATTTTCTCTTTTTTTTCGTTAACCCGCGCCCCACTGGGGTCTGCGTATAACACGCCCTACTGGGGGGGGGGCTATTCATAGCCCCCCCTCCTAACTCCGAAACTACTGGGCCGATCGTCAAAATTCAAACGGCGTCTGATAGCCCCGGAAAAACTGTCGAGCGAAACCTAATTTCATTGACCTCGACGTCACCGATGACGTCACAGGTCAGGTCAAAGTTAAAATTATTAGCATTTTGGTTTGTTCACGTTTTGGGCTCTGGCCGCCGTCCTACAAGTCAGATCAGGCTCATTTTTGGTTCACACTCTCGTGAACAGATGCTCTAGATACCCTGAGGGTACCAAACTTGTACTTTGATTTTCAGGTCAAGGTCAGGTCATCAAAGGTCACGAAAATATTATATCATGCGTCGGTCACGTGACACATGTTTTATGGTCCAATTAGGCCAAAGATTTCGAATTTGATGTCGTCTGTGTCATTCGAGGTCATCTTGAGTCGAATTTAGCTTAGGTCAGGTCACTTTCAGGTCAAAAAAGGTCAAATTTTGAAGTTATAATTTTTGAACAGAAAAGGTGTATATTGGATGCAGTTTGAGCTCAGGAACACGATGGTGCTATTTATATTGGCGTAAGATGTCAAATACGTGGTGAAAAATTGATTTGAAAAATTAATTATTGTGAATTTTTTTCCAATAATGCGTATAACTTGGCCATTTTTGAAGATATTTCACTGAAACTTGCTACAGTTAGTCATAATAACGCGTTCTATCACATATATTCCGGTTTTTTCGAAAAGTCAAAAACTTTTTGAAAAAAAATGTAAAAATGTAAGTTTTGAATTTTATTATATCAAATTTTCGAAATTTTCAAAATTTCGAAAATCCGAGATAGCAGTTTGATAGCGCAGTCTATTCTGAGTCCTCTCATGCAAAGAAATTGGATCTAGCTTAAAAACTGAGCTCTTGGGAGCGATTGCCGTGGTTCGATGTTTTGCGTCGAAATCGGCCGAACATGACGTCACTCTGACGTCATTTCCGGCCGACCTATGGTAGCTACGAAGTTCAAATTTTGACAAAAGGTGTCAAATTGATGCAGCCGAAGGTACTGAAAGTTTGGCGTCGATACGTCAAGCGGTTTGGAAGTTATTGCAGAAAAACGGGAGGGGGGCTATAAATAGCCCCCCCCCCCAGTGGGGCGCGGGTTAAAAAGGCCAAGATCTGAAAAATAAGTGGCCTAAAACCGGTGAGAAAACTAGATTTGGGGGTACCTACCCTAGGTTGATCTCTATTATGGTTCAGCCCCCTCTCCCCCCCCCCCAGTCTGGAAGAAGTTCCCTCGCCACTGTGTAGGTGCATATAATTAAGTCATTATAATATAATTAGTTACCTTCAGTAGCGTTTCAATATGTGGCACACAATAGAAATTTCAGAATGATTGTGTTTTACCTACTAGGTATTTATGGCTTTGGTATCTTTTAAGTCGATTTGACTTGGTTGCTCTTAGACGTAGTTAAGACCATTTTAAACGTATCTACGTACCTATTCCTTTATGAGGCCTGCCCAGAATTGGACTTGTGAAGCATTATCGAAAGCAATTTCCTAGACCATGGCCTTCAGAAGATAATCAAGATAAAGATGTGATATAAAGACCTTGTCAGAACTGGTCCTATGAGAATTTGACGCTTTCATGGCGGCACATTTGGTCACATTTGGGCTTTGGTCCGATTCGGTCCTATAAACCTCACCGGCCGAGGGGGGGTGCCACCCCCGATAGTTTTTTTTTTCGCGATAGCTCCGAACACGCTGGCGATAGAGAGCTGAAACTTAGCATACCTAATCTTTGATTCAAGCCGCATCTTTTGACAACAGCTGCATTTTCGGGTCAGGTCAGGTCACTGACCTATGACGTCATAAGTGAACCTCTGCACGGTCTTCAGATGTCGCAGCTTCGCAACGCCCTGGCACTGCCAGAGGAGCTTTCACATGGAAATGAAGCTTGCAGGATCTAATATCTATTACGAGTCTCACAACTTGTATATCTCGGACTTTTCGTAAAGGTCATATGAGGTCAGGTCATTTTCGTGACCTCACCATTATAAGTCACCATTATATAACCATTATAAGTGGGGAAAAATGAAAACTGCTATTTGCCGTCGGGAACGATCTCAAACTATCTCAAGCACACAGAATCGAGATTTGATGAACTCCTTGCAAGGTTACATGCGTCACTTTTGCAATGTTGACCTTGCGTGACGTCATTTATGACGTCACTAGGTTCATATTAATTTGTCGTCAATAACTCCCGATCTAATTGAGCTAGCCAGTCGAGAAAGCCACCAATGGACTCAGGAAGACCTGCCGAATCGAATGATATGCGACATGACCTACTTCGACCAATTTCGTGACCTAAGGGCGCTGACCTGACCGTGACCTGAGGTCAACACCGTAAGTTGACCTCATCCAAACCACATCCGTCTCGTAACAGCGCACACGCTCGTTTTTTCGCGACGCGCTAGCTCCACCAGGGGCGAAACGGCGAGGGGGTCGTACCCGCCCCCCCCCCTCGGCCGGCACGTATGTAGAAAACCAATACGTCTGGCGAGCGTGAATTATTCACAGTTTGAACATCAGTAGAAAAATGTTTTCAAAAGACTAAATCCCAACTACGGGCCGTCGGAAACGTCCATAGTGCGTACGCATATAAGTACGTGACGCTGAAATGTGCCGATCGCCGGAGCAAGGTAGAGATAAAGCTAATTCCAGGCTACCAAATTACGGTTCAAGTCCGACCGTTTGGCCTGGCTTTCAGTTTGTTACTGATTTAGTAGGTACCAGACGCGATTGAAGTTGAAAGCGCACAGACATCGGGATCCACTCCAAGCAGCATTGATTATACGCCTGTAGAGTGCTAACGACCACACGACCTTTGCCTCCCATATTGCCTCCTGTTACTTATGCCCGTAAACATTAGAGGCGCTGGCTATAAACGGTTGGCTGCTCCGTGGCCAGCGCAGTTTGCACGTCGTCGGTCCCGCGGTCAGCACGCAGCCTGCTCCGATGCCGACTGAGTCCGCCCTGCTGCTGTCTCTGGCTCTCCTGAGCCGCGTGGCGACCTCGCACGGCTCCGCCCCAACCACGGCCGACCACGTCGTGTCCGGTCTCGCCGAGGTCTGCACCGCAGGAGTGCGGGATGCTGTTCAGCACGAGGTCAGAGAAACGGCCAACCAGGCGGTGAGTCAGCTCAGGAGCGGTCAGCAGGAGCTGAACGCCACCCTGCATCGGCTGCAGGATCAGCTGGCGTCCCTGCAGCCGGCCGCCGCGCAGTGCCCGGACGGATGGAGACGCCACCAGGACAGCTGCTACCTGGTGACGCCCCACCAGACCACCTGGATGGCCGCGCACCACGTCTGCGCCGCGCTCGACCGGCGCGCGCGGCTGGCCTCGGTGCACCCCGGCTCTGCGGCGTTCCTGAAAAGCCTGGCCAAGTCGTACCGGGCCGACCAGCTGATCTGGATCGGGCTGGCGCGTCTGAGCGCGGGGGGCAGCTGGTCGTGGAGCGACGGGTCGCCGGTAGACTACGCCGACTGGGACGGGGGCCAGCCCAATAACGCCAAGGGCGTGGAGGACTGCGCACATTTCGGCGGAGGTGCGAGGTCTGCGGAAAAACGGTGGCATGACAACAGCTGTACCCGCATGTATCTCGCCATGTGCCAGATCAACCTGAGCTGAGATAAACAGGCAGCAACGCGCTGACAGTGGGCAGTGTTACGTGTTGACGTGCTGACTGAACAAACGCTGGCTTTTAGATGCGTAACTGAAAAGGCTGTTGCATGACATATAATTCAATCAAACTGTACGACAATTTGAACGTTGAAAGCTGACTGAATAAACAGTGCAGTGTCATTGATCATCCCTTGACAATTTAGGTCATTTCTAAGCATCGTCTCTCGATATTGTGGCATGATATTGTGGTATATTGTGGTACCTATATTGTGGCATCTCACACACATCTCTCGATATTCATTTTCTCACTGTTGCGAAGATAAAGTGTTTTAGTTATAGGTATGTATCAATAGCTGATACATATGTGTCTCAAACACATTATTCTCATTCCCTATCGAGGTACAAAGTTCATGAAATAAGTGGTGGGAAGAATCGTCCCCTCTTATTCCTTTATTCGTTTGCGTTGGGATGTGCACTGTGCAGTGTGCCCTGTGCAAGGTATATGTTACCCGTGGATACCCGGCGGGGCAGCTCTTCAGACAGGCTTATCAGCTTAGACAAAAACTTGACAGAGCCTTGCTTGACCTTATTCCTTTGAACAAACTTCTTTTCTACTTTCTAGCAGGTTAGGTCCAAGATTTATTGGGTGGGGCCACTTGTCAGACCATGTTCTGCCTAGCCCGAAATACGCTATTTCGTGCTATTTTTTATGTATTGAAATCGATAATAATAATTTATGCATGCCTACCTAAAGGGGTTGGAACCTTGGAAAGTTATACATAACAAAGTGTTGGTATTTAGGTAAAAAAATATAGTAGCTGATGTGTTTTCAGAGAGTGATTTTTCTCTCCGAGCCCAACAGCTGAGATGATGTCTTTATGAAAACATTACAAAGGACGGTCAATTAAAACCTTTGAAGTGTTTCTGAGGCATCCAGTTGTAAGTAGGTACATGGGTGATATCACCCTCTGCATTAGCAGTGCCAGTACGTGGTCGGTACGATTAGTGTTCTCGCGTCATGCATCTTTGTTTGTTTACCAAGGGTCCGTCGCTCGCAGAGCGGACTGACCTGGAGGAGGCCGCCGGCGGTGCCGAGTTGTGGGAACTGCAGCTGACTGGGGCAAAACCTGACCGCCAGACCAGAGCTACTGTTGGCGCCGACCCCTTGAGACCCTAATTTTCGAGATTGTTTTTGATTGCGTGGAAGAATTTCAACCACATTAAGTGAATGGCCGCTCCAAGACCTGCCGAAAGTTTTACTATTTAGATATTTTGTTGTCATTTCAATATTTCCGGCACTTCTCATTGACTCGTTATGTTAAATACCGAGCAAGATTTTCACCTGGTATGTCGAGGCTATCAATTGTCAGTCTGTGATAGGTACGTCATGACGTCACAGCTAATGGCCTCTATGGTCTTGGCCAAGTCTTGGCCTGCGGCGGTTTCGGGCCGGCGTGCGACATTCGCGCTGCAGCGGGGAGCCGGGAAGGTCGGTTGGTGCCGAACGCCGGTGGAGTCATAGATGAATGCTTGTAAGTTTTGAAGAAATACTATATAATGTATCGACATTTATTCCACTCGCCGTATTACGCTATCCACTAGAATGTTTATTTCTGAACGGGTTAATGGAACTTACTTGCTAGTCGATTTATTCTATTCATAGTTGCAGATTTTAACGATCTCATGTGTGCACCTACGAACAAATAACCGTCAAAATGATCACTGTAGCGCCTGAGGTTTGGTAAACTCGACCACGCTTTACAATCAAACATCACATTAGCACACCGATGAAGAACAATGGTTACCAAAAATTATTGGTACCAGACATGTGCATGGATCCGAGTGATGGATCTATGATCTCAGTGGATCTCGAGGCAAATTGTAGGTTCGGATCTATGATCCCACAGAATCCGGCGTGAAAAATTTATCTTGGATCTATGATCTCACAGGATCTGACGATAAACCAAAAGCATGGATCTATGATCTGAGTGGATCCCACCATGAACAACATTTGAAACCAGGTTTCCAAGTGTTTCTATGTCAATAAGTGCCATAAAACTATGGATTATGACGTGTTATCACATAAAAGCACTAAATAAGAATGTTTGTGAGTTGCAACGAGTGATCTTTTGGGATTTCTGTGTTGACCAAAAATAAATGAGGATCTATGATCCCACTGGATCTCAAGCAAAAATACTAGACTCGGATCTATGATCCCTACGAATCTCTCGATAAATTAAAGAGCTGGATCTATGATCCCGACGGATCCGAGATCAGGATCCGTGGGATCAGATCCCAGATCCATTTTCTCTGATCCATGCACATGTCTGATTGGTACTATATCGGCCGAGGTCATAGGTGAGATGCTGAACACTGCAGAAAGACACTGGATTATCTCCCAGAGTCCATCTATATCCTGTTGATCCTCAGTGACCCACCTGAGCAGGCCGCTGACACACTCGGCCAATATCAAACATTGGAAACACACAGTCTCGTAGATATCTATCCGAGCTCTCCGACAACCAGCGTAAATCATCTCTCGGGACTCGGACCACTATCCAATCATTCGCCTATTCAGACATCGTTTGCAGATCGGCCTCGAACAATGCAATTACGACCGTTTAAATATAACGTGATAGTAGGTAAAATAGCTGTCCTATTAATGGTTCATAAAGACAGGTCAAGTTATAGGTACTAGCAATAAGTACGAGACATTCACAAGCACGCGTCACGTTCGCTAGACTGTTGACATCATGTGAGCTGATTCTAGCTCGTTAATAACGGACCCAGAGCTCGTGCACTTGGACACCGATCAGCGAGTCTCCATGGTGCTCTGCATAAAATGTTTCACGACAGAACAGGGCAGTCGGAGTACGCAGCTCAGTGACATCCATTTACCGTCCAAGCTCATACTGGACGAACGGGGCCATCCCCGGGAAGAAGACGGCCGCTGACGTCACCGGGCAGAGGCTGTAGGCGGCCTCCAGCGGGGTGGGCACGGACGTCCCTGCACCGACCGCGGCCTGGCTGGCCGAGACGGCAGCGGGCTCCAGCGCAGGGCGGTACGGCGCCGGCGGGGCTGCCGCAGCCCCCCTGACCGCCAGCTCGGCTGTCCGCGACGGCCCTGAGCCCTGCCGCTGCCTCTGCCGACGGAGAGAGACGCGTCATCAGGTGGCTGAGACAATGAGACATGTTGAGCGTGTTGTAAGTAAATACGGATGTGTTTTTCATTACATTCTGTGTAGGTACCTATTCCTGTTTCTTTTTTAGACGAATGTACGGTACACAATTATAGCTATGGCCTATTCTGTCACCCTTAACGCTCAATCAAAATGAACACATCTATGCAGCGCTCAATCAAACATAAATACCTATCATATCCGACGGATTTTGACTTCGGGGCTGAAATAGATGAAACAGGTGTTCAGGTATTATCTGTCCCGTCCTCCTTACCTGCAAACGTTTTTCGGCCAGGCAGAAGGTGCAGACCACTCTTCCGCTGCCCGGTCCGGCCTCTCGCATGCACGGACTGCTGACGTTTCCTGGGGGGGGGGGGGAGAAAAGGGGGGCAGTGAATACAAAGTCACATTATGTGCGTGTGCGTGTGTGTTAGGCCATATGTCATCCTTTTGAAGTCAAATTTATTTACAGGCTAGCTCACTGGCGGATCGAGAAAGGCGGTCTTGGAGGCTGCGGGGGCATATCCCCAAAAGGTTTATCCAAATTCCAAAAACCCATCGAATATATCGACTCCTTACGCCTTGCTATGGTGTCTAGCGCAGAAGTGGCTACTACACCGAACGATACAGTACAGGCCACCTATCAAACTACAACTAAGCAGATCGTGTGTTAGCAAAAAGTGCTATGACCTCGCTAGTCGCTATTCTAATCTTTTGCAGGCCTGAGCCCAGAGCACGTTACGTGACAGTTAGCACAAAAAAACTAGGATACTTGGTGCTTCTCCTTCTCCATTGATGGATCGCGCATAGACCGCTGCATTGTATCGTGTGTTAGGTTTATTCTTATGGCAGTGTTTTAAGAGTCAAAAGTACCAACGTATTTTTAAGTTCTTGATGAGCAGTCTCAAGGTCAAATGTCTAAAAATGTAAATAAACACGTTGTAAGGTGTTTATATGGCTTTTATGTGATTTTTATTGCATTTTCCTGTGCTGTACTTCATTATACGAATGGTAAGAGTAATACATTTAGTATAATTCATCCTAATTCCTCCTTCAAGTATTTAAAAACAACTGTTTATTCTGTACACCTGGTTTAGAGATCGTTTGCACTTTGCGTTTAGATTGACGAACAAAGTCAACCACAGTCGAAATTAATTATTTCAATTTATGTCTCGTCTTATTAGCCCTGTTTTCGCCTCATTTTCAATGAATGTATGTCATTTTACTGTTATATGTTATTTTACTGTTACTGTTAGATAAATTTGACTTGTTATATGAATTATGTTGCTTGTTTTGCGACGGCTGTTGAGGTGATGACGATGAGTATAGACAATTGCCATGGACAATTAGAATTGGCACAGATGGGCGTCACCGCGCAATGACAACGCATTTTATCCTTGGCAGTTACCCCTTGAACCTAAATTATATTTTTCTAGGTGCTACCGACTGTGGACTGGTCCGAGCCGTCCGGTCCCGGCGACGATCCGTTCGAGGGCGGCCCGGAGGACACGGACAGCTCGCGCCAGGCGCCGTCCGTGCTCAGCCTGGCGTACGGCTGCGGCCGGCTGGCGGCGGCGCTCTACGAGCCGCTCAGCATGACGGCGCGCCTGCTGCGCGACACGCCCGACCCGCCGCCGCACTTTGTCCAGCTGCGCGCCCTGCTTGGCCAGCTGCGGCCCGACCAGGTCAGAGACGCTGCCGCGGCCCAGGTCACGGCAAAGTAGTTCGATTCCTGGGCGCAGTGAAATGATCGGAATAGCACAGTGATCTAAGTAGAAACCAGGTCAATGACCTGACCTGGCCTGACTTTGAGGTGACCTTGACACCCACCCTAATGCATGGGACCAACAACATATCACACTATACGCCGAATCGCGATTCCGGCTAAACATGGTCTCGAAAAGTAAGCCACAGGTCAGAGGTCCTTCGGGTCAGGGTCATGACATTTTTAGGGTAGGTGTAAAATCGATTTTTGTGAAGGTACTGAGAGTTTCGTCGCGATATGCCGCTTTTTACGCGAGTTATTCGCGAAAAACCGGGGGGATCCGTTCGACTCCCCCCCCCCCCTACGGGCGAGGGTAAAGCGCTTTTGCTTCCAAGCCGTCCCCACACCTCCATAAGATCAAAATTCGTTTGTGCACCAAGATGCACGCGTACAAGACTAGAACCGGCGGAGCTGAAATGTTCAGAGCGCGCGCGGCCGCAGGTGACTCTTGCTGGACGGTTAGAGCCAGACACAAAGTGGCAACACAATCGCCAGGACTCGGCGCACACTGCTAATTGTTGGGGGGAGGGGGAGGGCAGGGCAGGTGCTCACTTCCCACGGCCCACCTGCGCCCGAGGCCCGCACTGTCGCCTGACGCGGCGTGACGTCACTGTACAGTGACGTCATCTCGATAGCTTTGGGTAAGGGAAGTTGGAGGTCGTGCCCAGGGACATTAGTTAACGCTCCGAAAGCTGAATCTGTTTACAAATTTCTGCCTCTTTGCAAGTTGACAGTCTCCAGACTCCCGGCCGCGAATAGTTCATATATGAGGTGTTTGGGTGGGGACTTTCCTAAATTCATATACATTACAAAACATTTACGTTTCGAGGCAGGTTTGTTTTTACTTGATATTCATTTTCCTAGAAGTGGAATACCTTTCCGATTTTCAACCCTGTATGGTTGATAACGTAAAATACCATTAGCCAGTATCAAGTGATGCATTCGATGCGAGGTTTTACAAAGCGCGTTAGCTCCGTGGCCGCCTTTTTAGAGTGACCACGGGAGGCAGTGCTGGTAACCGTTCCCGGGTCAGTGGTCGGTAGTCAGTGGTCGGTAGTCAGTGGTCGGTAGTCAGTGGTAAGTAGTCAGTGGTCGGTAGTAGTCAGTGGTCGGCCAGTTTGGCAGGTCAGTGATCACTGGTCAGTAGTAGTACAGTAGTCAGTGGTCGGTAGTCAGTGGTCGGTAGTCAGTGGTAAGTAGTCAGTGGTCGGTAGTAGTCAGTGGTCGGTCAGTTTGGCAGGTCAGTGATCACTGGTCAGTAGTAGTACAGTAGTCAATGGTCGGTAGTCAGTGGTCGGCAGTGACCCGTGCGGAGTGCACGCTGCACGCTGAGGCGCACCACACCGCTGGTCGGCCGGTCCAGAGCCGGCTCGTGGCACACCACTGGTCGGCTGGTCCGGAGCCGGCTGCTGTCCCCGCTCCACCGAGTGACGGGCGGGTGTCCGCCGTCCGCCCGTGTCCGGTCACCTGCCGCCGCTCTCCCCGCGTCTGACCGGCGCCGCGGTACTGGTAGTCGTGTGCCGCCACGCACCATGCGCGCCAGCCGGTCCCCGGCGGCGGCTCCAGCTGGCCGGGGGGGGGGGGGGACTGGACTGGACTGGGGGGTCACCGACCGGTGCAGAGGGCCGTCTGGACTGAGTGGCCGCAGCTGTCAGCTGAAATGACCGCACTACCGCAGAGGTTTGAGTACTGGATGGAATCAAATTTATTGGCACATGAGAATGAATATGGTTGTGACATTGGTGGCTGAAAGGCATGCATTTGCGTTTGGGAACAAAGTGCAAATCTAAGGAAGGTATTTGATAAAAACTCAGCGGGACGGTTTCGTTAACATAAAGGGTGATCAAATGAACGTATCACTGGTCTGGTGGCATGAAATGTGGACAAAGTGATGTTAAATGTAGCCGTTATCCGAGAGTCTAGTTTCACTGAATGTCCCTGGAGTCCATAAACTAGCAGTGTATGGAATATGGATACCTGACAGTGGACATAGTTTTTTTTTTTTTGCGCACTTCGTGCTTGGAGTGAAAGGAGTGAAGCGAAGTCGCCGGCTGCAAAGTTCATCTGAGCTATGCAGCGCAGCTGTTCCTTGTACCCATCAATACTGACTACGGCGCGGTACTGAATGCCCCCTCCGCCGGTGGTAAGTCGAGCTGTGACGGGCCATCGTCCACCCGTCCGACCCCCCTCTGCGGCGGCTGAGCCTGACCCCCGTCCCCGCCGACAGGTCATCACCAGCGGCCGGCAGGACGAGCGGCTGCTGGCCGTGCTCTCCGAGCTGCTGGCCGCCGACCCGCGCGACGACGACCAGACGCCGCTGCAGCTGCAGCCGGCCGGCGACTACCGCGCCGACAGCTGCCGCCACCGCGTGCTGGCCGTCCAGCTGCCGGCAGAGACCTCTGACGACGAGCAGGCGCACTACAACTTCATCACCAGCCGCGTCGACTTCGCTCAGACGACCATGGTGCGGGCGTTCGGCGGCCTGCTGCGCTACCTGGACCGCCGGCCGCTGGAGACGCTCAGCCGGCAGCCGGTGATGCGCATCGAGAACCTCTCGCTGGAGGATGCCATGTACGTCAGCAGCGGCGCGTTCCGCACCCTGCAGGTGTTCGCCGCCGACCGCCACCCGTCCTCCTTCAAGGCCGAGACGACGCGCGAGGGTCTGAGCGTGTTCGCCGTGCTCAACAAGTGCTGCTCGCCGCTGGGCGTGGCCCAGCTGCGCCGCATGCTGATGCAGCCGCTCACCAGCCGGCGGCGTATCGAGGCGCGGCTAGACGCCGTCGAGTTTTTCACTCGGCCCGCTAACGAGGACGTGGTGACCTCGCTGCAGACGTGTCTGCGCCGCGTGCGCAACCTGACGCCGCTGCTCAGCCGGATGCGCAACGCGCGCGGCCTGAGCGGCGACTGGCGCACCCTGTACGACACACTGCACGGCGGCGTGGTGGCTGCCGAGGTGTGTCGCGACCTGCCGGCCGGCGTGGCGGTGTTCGACCGGGCGGCCGGCGCCGACTGCGCCGCCGTCCAGCGACTGCTGCACACACTCCACCAGACGGTCAACCTGGCCGAGACGCGCGAGCTGCGCCGCTTCACCGTCCACCTGGGCCTGGACGACACGCTGGACGCCCACAAGCGGGCGTACGCGGCGCTGCCGGAGCTGCTGTCGGCCGAGATGGCCGCCGAGCAGGCCGCGCTGCCCGACCAGATCCAGACGTGCAGCATGGTCTTCCTGCCGCAGGTCGGCTTCCTGGTCATGGTGGACGAGTGGCGGGAGCCGCTGACGCGCGAGCAGCAGCGCGACCTGCCCGGCCTGCGCTTCCAGTTCGAGGACCGCGGCCGTGTGCTGTACAAGTCGGCGCGCTGCGACGCTCTGGATGAGAGCGTCGGAGACGTGGCCACCGCCATCCGCGACAGGGAGACGCAGGTAACCGGGGAGGGGGGGGGGGACGGACAGGCACACGACGACAGGTCAGGAACTGAACGCAACAGCGGCTGGTGTGCCGTTATGTTACTGCTCCACTCCTACTGTTACGGTACGGTGCCCACCCACAGGTAAATACGCTGCACCTCTTGGCGCAGGTGATGTTACAGTACTGGTGCTCTGCTGCAGGTAATGGCGCGCTGGTGACGTTACTGTGGTGCTCTCTGCCGCAGTTCAAGTGGTGCGTCTCTCGGCGCAGGTGGTGGTGTTACTGACTGTACAGTCACAGTGGTGCTCTCTGACAGGTGATGGATGGAGGTGTATCTCTCGGCGCTGGTGGTGTTACAACTTATAATACTACTGCTCTCTCCCGCAGGTGATGGTGCGCCTCTCAGCGCTGGTGGTGGCCGCAGCGGAGGAGATTCACCAGCTGTGCAGTCTATGTGGGGAACTGGACGCCCTCATGGCTCTGGCCAAGGCAGCCAACGAGTTCGGGTACGTCCGACCCCGGGTAAGTGAGACTGAGTGAGTGAGTGAGTGAGTGAGTGTGAGTGAGTGTGAGTGAGTGAGTGTGAGTGAGTGAGTGAGTGAGTCAGTCAGTCAGTCAGTCAATGAGTGAGTGAGTGAGTAAAAGATTGAGTGAGTAGGTGGGTAAGTAAGTGTGGTTTATGTTTAAACCAAACTCACAGTCAGTGAGTTATGTTTACTAGTTTGACTTACTTTTGAGTCAACATAAGAGTCATAAATAAGAATCTAATACTTATGAGTGTTACATAAAAGTCTTACCTAAGAGTCAACGTAAGTTTAAATGGCGATACCTCCGAAAAAAATGTTCGATTTTACATCAGTGTCCTTAAGTTTAAGTCCTCAAAAAGACATTGATGACGGAGCAGACACTAGAGTATGCCGCCTCGCTGACCGCTGGCCGGTCCGGCTGTAACCGCAGTTTGTCGACGAGAACGTGCTGGAGCTGCAGCGCAGCCGGCACCCGCTGCTGGAGCTGTGCGCCGACCTGGTGGTGCCCAACGACTTCAGCAGCGGCCGGCAGCCGCACCGCGACCGCCTCAAGCTGGTGACGGGCGCCAACGGCGCCGGCAAGTCGGTCTACCTGCGCCAGGTGGCGCTGGCCGTGCTGATGGCGCAGGCCGGCTCGTTCGTGGCGGCCGACGCGGCGCGGCTGGGCGTGCAGCGCGCCCTCTTCACCGTGGCGCCGCCGGCGCTGACCGGCACCGGCGGCGACGCGGCGGCCGGCGGCGGCTGCGGCTCCGCCTTCCTGGCCGAGCTGCGCCAGCTGTGCGCCGCCGTGGCCGAGAGCGGCGAGCGGGCGCTGCTCGCTGTGGACGAGTTCGGCGGCGGCACGCTGGCAGAGGACGGCGCCGCCCTGCTGGCCGCCGCGCTCTCCGAGCTACTGGCGCGCCGGGAGCGCTGCCCGCACGTGCTGGTGTCGACACACGTGCACCGTCTGTGCTCGCTGCTGCCGCCCTCGCAGCTGGTCACCCCCGTGTGCCCCGAGCTGGTGGCCGAGCCGGGCGGCCGGGCCGTCACCTTCCTCTACCAGATGGCCACCGGCTCGGCGGGCAGGAGCTACGCGATGGCGGCCGCCACGGCTGCCTGCCTGCCTGAGAGGCTCGTCCACAGGGCCGAACAGGTGAGCATGGCCCGCACGGAGGGCCGAGCAGGTGGGCACGGATCGCACAGAGGGCTGAACAGGTGAGCACGGATCGCACACAAAACCGAACAGGGAGGGCGCCGCCGTGCGCTCTGTGCAATGCGTCGGTCTGAAATGCAAAGGCGCTGGTAGCTTTTGGGTGTCCGCCCGCTGTAATACCAGCGCCCGCCGGCTGCCAGGGAGGATGTGCTTTCCATCCGAAGCTTCAATAAGATATCACGCCCATCATATATGAAATAGTTTTATGATGGGGAAAAATGAGGGAACTGAGTACCTAATACAATCGGTGAGGTCATGAGCCAGCTATCTAAAATCTTTTTCCTGACTCAGCCTTGGCTCCCTCCCCTACTCTGCCGTCAGGTGATGGAAGCCATGGTGTCCGGCTCGGACCTCTGTCCCGACCCCGAGCTGCTCCGAGTCGAGGAGGCGGCCGTCGAGAGGGCGCGCCGCGCCGTGGAGACGTTCCTGCGCGCCGACCTGGACTCGGAGGACCCGGCAGAGCTGCTGCGTCGCGTGCGGCAGGAGTACCGCGGCGCCGAGGACCCGTGGGAGGACTCTGTGGCGGGCGGGGCCGCGGCGCCCGGCAGCGAGCGGCCCGTGCCGGGCTCCTCAGTGGCCGGGCCGGCGGCCACCCCCGGCGGCGCGGCGGCAGCGCCGGGTTTGAGGAGGGACGGAGCGCCGCGCCCGGGAGCCGACTCCGCCACCGGCAGCTCCGAGACGCCTGTCTCCGCGCCCTGTCAGGGTGGCGCCGCTACCCGGCCGGCCGGCCGCGGGGCGCCGCCGAGCAGCTCCACGGCCACTCGGGGGGAGAGCTCGTCCCGGACCGGCGCCGACTCCAGCTCAGGGCCGACAGCAGTGCCCCGTGCAGGCGCCGGCCGCGTCCCGGGCGCGCGCTACCGCGCAGTGTACTCGTCCGACGATCAGACGCGCCGCTCCGACCGGTCCGGGGCCAGTGAGGGGCCGCTCGGCAGCCGCCGGCCCCGGGAGCAGTCCTCCACCTGGTCTGAGGACCCCGAGGCGCCCCTCACCCGGCCCGGCTCCGGCGCGGAGGGATGGGGAACAGCGGCAGCGGGCTCGGCTCACACAGGTCCAGGCGGCCCCGGCCGGTCGCTGACCTGCTCCAGTGACCGGCCGCCGCCCCGGCCCGGCCCCGGAGGGCGCGTCTCGGACGTCTCCGAGGACCCGCTCGGCTGGTCCCGGGTCGGGTGCGTGCCGCGGGTGGCCGCCGGCCCCTCCAGGTACACAGAGGGGCTGCCGGTCCCCAGCGGGGTCTCTCAGACTCCGGTCATCAGAGCCGAGCCCGCCGGCCGTGGGGCTGATCGGGCAGCGGGCGGTACCGACTCCGGCACCTCCGACCTGACGACAGGGCGCAGTGACTGGTCACTGGCCACCTCCAAACGAGCCAGCTCGCCCCTCCTGGACAGCGGACCCCGTCCCATGGGTCAGCAGATGGAGGTGACCAGCGGTGACACCGACACGACCCCAGCCGAGCGCCGCGGCAGCTACTACTACTCGCGGCTGCGCTGTGAGACCCTGGTGAGCGCCAGCAGCGGGCTGGGGGTCAGCGAGGGGTCGGCACGGGCCGCCGGGGTCGGCAGGGGGTCACTGCGGGCCAGTGACGGGTCACTGCGGCCCAGTGACGGCTCAGCCGGCAGCGGCAGGGGCGACTGGTGGCTGGCGGGCCGGCCGCTGAAGAGGGCTCGGACCGTGGACGGGGAGCGAGGGGAGGGGCCGCGGCCGAGCGTGCCGGCTGACGACCCGATGAGCACGGGGGACACGTGACCCAGGCCACGCGCCGGGTCAAGCAGCGGCCGAGGACCCACTAAGACACGAGACAGGGGACTGGCATGCGCCGGGTCAGACAGCGGTCGAGAACCCGCTGAAAACGGGACACGGACCGTGGCCAACTGCACGGTGCTCAATCAGAGTTGACATGTTACTTGATTGACGCCTGTAAGCACATTCGTGTCTATCCATGCATATCATGTGAAGGTGCAATCGCCCAGTGCCATTGTCTATGTTTGTTTCCAAACTGCCACATGTAATGCTCAATTGCATACTCGCGCGCCACATATTCCTTGTACTCTAGATCGAATGAAAAGGCACTTGCAATTACTATCGCCAAACTTCTTCACAGCAGGGTAGTGTGTTGATAAGTTAAGAAATCGAAGTCGACTTCGGAAAATAAACATGATGTGAAGTGTAAATTGTAAAAAAAAGGTTTGATCGTATTCAGTGCAACCCCTCTGGTCAGCTCACGTTAGCTACATCGTTGACGCTGCCCCATCATATCCAATGTCCATCATTCACTGATATCGGCGGCGCCCTCATGTTTTGTGGTATTGACAATCAGTTGTAGATAGGATCACCCCGCCGCTTTCCACACCTCCCGTCCAGACTGACAGCCGTCGGCGGTTGCACGGATATCGGCCCTGGTTCGCCGATCAGTGCCGCGTGGGGAAGGAACAGACGGGGAGGGGGCGCCATAACGCTCACCACAGACCCGGCGAGACCGCACTGCATCGTGGGAAAGCGTCATCGCTCACACCGGTACTGTTTCTACAAACATCGGGCCGCGGGCGGGCCGACCGCCGAGGTTCCGTCCGGTTCCGGTATAGGGTGTGCGGGGGAACCTGTTCCGGTCTGGGGTGCGGGGGTCTTGTCCGATCCCGTTCCGGTAGGCGCTGGGAGGTCCTCACGCCGCACTCGCTGAGGAAGTAGGTGTTTCCGGGCTCAGTGATCCGCCACCAGTCGGAGCTGACCCGTGCTGACCTCTGGTCGGTGCCGGCCGGTGTCGGTTACCGGGGGACCGCACGGACCGGGCCGCCGCTCCCCGGCTGGGAGGGCGGCGATCGCTGGACCGCCCTGGAGTCCAGTGGGGGGGGGGGGGGCAGAGAGGGGAAGTGTGGCCTCGCAGTTGTGGGAACGGCGTAAGACGTACAGCATCGCATTGTAGGAACGGAAACGGGTAACCGATATGGGCCGGCGGCATGAGTTTTAGTGCTGGAAGAAATTTCGATGGAAATAAAAACGTCGGCAAACCGGCTCAGATATCAATAATCGGACAGTTTTTTTTGGTAATAATGGATGTGTTCCATATGCTACTTGCGGGCGTTAGTTAGGGCAAGGTGGCCCAAGTGCCGACCACATGTCCCAGCTCTTGGCAGTAACTCAGTTCGGCAGCCCACAACTCAGCTGGGACCGGCTCGGCTCCCTGTTCCAGCTCCCTCCTGACCACAGTCGAGACGGTGTCCATTAACAAAAGACGAACGGTGCTGGACAGAGCTGCTGTTTCCGGCCCGGCCCGCAGTCGGGGGCGGCCGCTCCGGGCGCACAAACCCCGCCGGTGCAGTGTGTCGGTCCGCCCGGGCCGTGACGGACGAACCGCTGACAGCTCTGCCATCAGTCACCGCCGGCAGCGAGACACTCGGCAGTCAGCGCCGACACGGGCGCCCCCCGGCCGCCGCTGAGAACTGTACGAGCTCCCTGACACAGAGAGGGAGTACTACGAGCGTCGGCCGTCGGAGGGGTGTGACGGCGCCGACGGTCCGTCGTCGGTACCGTCGCGCCGGCCGGCCGGTTCCACGCTGTCTGGCCGGTCGGCCCACCTTCCGGCCCGGCCGGGGAGCGGAGAGTGAGGGAGGGGACGGACAGTCAGTGCAGCGGTTCCGCACGGGGAGCGGAGAGTGAGAGGGGGAGGAGACGGCCGGTCAGCGGGCCAGGCCGGCCGTGACGGCCGACTTCCCGCCGTGAACTGTCACCGGGGCGGACAGCGGTGTTTGATGTCGCACGGCAGGGTTAACACGCGCACTGCAGCGGGTCTGAGCCGAACACGAACTGCGGGGGGGGGGTTGAAAACAACCCCCCCCTGAGATCTCGAAAACGGCGCAACGTAGCGACAAGCGGTAAACGGCGTTGGATAGGTTAAGATGAGATCGACAAGAAATACTAAGATCATTTTTGGGTCAGGTCAAAAACGAGGTCACCAGAGGTCACCGAAGACAAAATGTTACGATTTTCACAACAGGAATTTCGCGGTAGTTTTTCTTGAATAACTTGTCTTGCACACAAGACAGAGGATCGATTCGAACGCCATCGTTCTTAGCTCGTCAAGGCGCATCGAATGATATATAATATGACCTCGAAAGGTCAAGTTGAAAATTTGACCTCAGGTCAAGGTCATGACCTGACCGAAATAGGTCATGTTGCATATCATTCGATCCGCATTGACGAGAAAAACACGATAAACGTCGAACGGAGTCTCTATCTCTACTCAATCTCAAGTTATTGAAGAAAAACCGCTGGTGACCTCAGGTGACCTAAGATGACCCGGAGATCACCTTCCAAAGGTCATAAGTGATATGTTTCGGTGAAATCACCAACAGGGACCTGTAATACTATGATCCTGAGCGTATTGAAGTCATAGGATGGCATTCAGAGTAAGTTGAAATTTCTCCCATTGACTTATAATGGGCCGGTCGCAAAAATGACCTGACCTTAGGTCATCGATATAAAAATTCCGAGATATACAAGTTGTAGCTCGTGATGACTTTACTATTTCCTGTGGGTTTCAAGATCATATCTCAACAACTGTGGGCTTGGTGGGATTGCAAACTTCGAAATTTACGTTTCGAGGTAGGGTCACTTGACCTGACCTGGTGACCTGACCATAGGTCACCTGGGGTCAAAATTTTTACTCAAGGTGTGCAAAAGTTGTGAGAACAGGTATGCAAAATTTGGCGGCGCTACGCGCCGCCGTTTTCTCGCAATTTGCGAAAAACCACAGGGGGGGTTGAAAACAACCCCCCCCCCCTGCAGTGCGCGTGTTAAATGGTGTGATTAGCGAGAGTCGTTTGTCATCTCGGGCAGCAGCGTTCCAGTTTTACGCCGAGCGGCTCCAGGCGCGTCTCCGAGAGTTTCTACCCAGGCCGCTCAGCGCTCGGTGCGGAAGTGGGTGATGTCGTTTTGACTCACGGCCTTTCGGCAGAGTCGGGCTCTTGTAAACGCGTGTTTAGGTGTTCTGTTGTTTGGTTGGACAACAAACTCGTGAAGGATGGATGCTGCTGCGGGTAGCGAGCGAGCGATGATTGTGACGGATCGCTGATCGGACCGGCACCGCTGGAAACAACGCTGGAAACACCGACACGGGCGACAGGGCCGCATAACGGACTCATACCGAGTAGCGGCCAGCGGGCACGAACCAGACGCGCCATATGAGTTCCGGGGACTGGCATTAGTGGTCCAACAATATGCGTTCGCAGATACGTTTAGGACCAAAGAAGCAGATTTAGATGTTAATCAAACAGAGAGACGAATGATATTACGATATTACCACGGTATTACCTACTTGCTACCTCTCAACATTTTGGGGCTGCTAAAGGCTCGATGGCAAAGCCTACTTTGGAATGAATGTTGGGTCGCCCGTTGAAACCCGTGACCCTCCATTTCTATGCAACAAGGGAATTTTCGATCGCCATCCCGATTGTCGCACAAACCTCGAATTATCTATGCGGCCCTATTATCTATGCGGTCCTATGGTAAGAGGACCGTCAGCTGTCTTCGTGTCAGCTGTCTCCTATGAGTCCGAATGCCATCTCACTGGAAGTGCATCCCATCACGATGACGAAGCTCACGACATCTCAATGCCAAGTTACCACTGAGCCTGTGTGAGATCTCGCCTGAGGACAGCTGAGTGTCTATGTGAAGTCATCTGGTGAGTGTGTCTCTCACCTGCCGGCAGTCGGGTGTCTGTGTGAAGTCTCACCTATCGGCAGCTGGGTGTCTGTGTGAAATCTGTGTCTCTGTGTAAAGTCTCAGTTCTCACCTGTCATTTGTCAACAGCTGAGTGTGTGAAGTCTCACCTGCCGGCAGCTGGGTATCTAACTAGGTGAGTATTTGTGTGAACTATGAAGTCTCACTTGCTGATAGCTGTAGGTATGTGTGAAGTCTCACTGAGTCTGTGTGAAGTCTCACCTGCCGACAGCTGGGTGGCTGTGAGATGTCTCACCTGCCGACAGCTGGGTGTCTGTGTGAAGTCTCACCTGCCGACAGCTGGGTGTCTGTGTGAAGTCTCACCTGCCGACAGCTGGGTATCTGTGTGAAGTCTCACCTGCCGACAGCTGGGTGTCTGTGTGAAGTCTCACCTGCCGACAGCTGGGTATCTGTGTGAAGTCTCACCTGCCGACAGCTGGGTGGCTGTGAGATGTCTCACCTGCCGACAGCTGGGTGTCTGTGTGAAGTCTCACCTGCCGACAGCTGGGTATCTGTGTGAAGTCTCACCTGCCGACAGCTGGGTGTCTGTGTGAAGTCTCACCTGCCGACAGCTGGGTGTCTGTGTGAAGTCTCACCTGCCGACAGCTGGGTATCTGTGTGAAGTCTCACCTGCCGACAGTTGGGTGTCTGTGTGAAGTCTCACCTGCCGACAGCTGGGTATCTGTGTGAAGTCTCACCTGCCGACAGCTGGGTGTCTGTGTGAAGTCTCACCTGCCGACAGCTGGGTATCTGTGTGAAGTCTCACCTGCCGACAGCTGGGTGGCTGTGAGATGTCTCACCTGCCGACAGCTGGGTGTCTGTGTGAAGTCTCACCTGCCGACAGCTGGGTATCTGTGTGAAGTCTCACCTGCCGACAGCTGGGTGTCTGTGTGAAGTCTCACCTGCCGACAGCTGGGTGTCTGTGTGAAGTCTCACCTGCCGACAGCTGGGTATCTGTGTGAAGTCTCACCTGCCGACAGCTGGGTGTCTGTGTGAAGTCTCACCTGCCGACAGCTGGGTGTCTGTGTGAAGTCTCACCTGCCGACAGCTGGGTATCTGTGTGAAGTCTCACCTGCCGACAGCTGGGTGTCTGTGTGAAGTCTCACCTGCCGACAGCTGGGTGTCTGTGTGAAGTCCCACCTGCCGATAGCTGTCTGTGTGAAGTCTCACCTGCCGACAGCTGGGTGTCTGTGTGAAGTCTCACCTGCCGACAGTTGGGTGTCTGTGTGAAGTCTCACCTGCCGACAGCTGGGTGTCTGTGTGAAGTCTCACCTGCCGACAGCTGGGTATCTGTGTGAAGTCTCACCTGCCGACAGCTGGGTGTCCAGGTGTGTGATGTAGCTGCAGGCCAGTCGCAGCGTCTCGATCTTGGAGAGCTTCCTGTCGGCCGGCTGGGTCGGTATCATGGTCCGCAGCCGGCTGAAGGCCGTGTTCACGCTGTAAGAAGGTCCAGGAGCGGTCAGAAGGCTGGTGTGAGGGCGGAGAACGGTCAGAAGGCTGGTTACGACTGAGGTCGGTGAGATGACGGGCAGTCAAAAGGTCGGCACTCGATGCGGTCGTTGAAAAGAAAACGAAACATGTAGGTATAAAGCTATCGATTACAATAAGAAGTGCCGTGAGCCCCGTAACAAAATATAACTGCAACGCATCGATTTTGCATCGCTTTTATTTTTTTCACCAAGGTCACCCAACGTCAGGTGATCAGATGGAGTTAAATAAAATCTAAAAATGCCGCATCATTCATACATGCTACTTAAGTCTAAGTCGTAAGAGCTTGGAACTCCTGATCACTGATGCATGATAAATGCCAGTAGGTATACGGTTACCCCGCGCCCCAGTGGCGGTCTCAGCCAGCTTCGCCCTAGTGGGGGGGGGGGGGGCATATGTTACCACCCACCTCTAACTCAAAAACTAAGAGGGCTAGAAAGACGCGGTAAAAAGCAGTCGATAGCTCTTAATGCGTACGTTTGAAATTATTTCAGTCATTTTTCATCTTGGAGCAATATTGGGGTCACTGGAGGTCATCAAAGGTCAAAATTTGCCAAATGTCATTTTATTTTTCAGAAAAATGCATTTATCTCAGGAACTATGATAGCTAGAAAAACTAATTGAAAAGCAATCGATAGCCTTTGAGCTCTTCTTTTGATAAGGTCATCATCAAAATTGACCTCAGGTCAACGGTTTAGCCTACAGAGGGCAAAAACTAAAAAAATAGCTGTTTTTTTCGCAAAGTGTTTTTCGACAATAACTTTTGACTAAAAAAATCCACGACATTTCTATGGCCAGAATCGTGTTCCTCTCGACAAGACGCGTCGAATGAAGTATAATTTGACCTTGAAAGGTCAACTTGAAAATTTGACCTCAGGTCAAGGTCATGACCTGACCGGAAAAGGTCATGTTGCATATCATTCGATGCGTCTCAACAAGACAAATACAATGGAGCCATCCCCAGCGTCCTATCTCTTTCCAATCGAGAGTTATTGGCAAAAATATGTTAGTAGCCTCAAATGACCTCGGATGACCTTTCTAGAGGCTATCAGCAAAAAAGACACCTTTGTCGTCACGGATGGTCCAAATCATTGTGATTCTGAAATATTTGGACTGTTCCTATGCGTACACACGGATCTAGAGGCATCTTCATGTTTCTCCATTGACTTATGGAGGTCACGCAACTGACCTGACCTTAGGTCACGGATATAAAAAATCCGAGATATACAAATTGTAGGCGCCCATAACATCATGCAATCCACCAAGTTTAACCCTCGCCGGCCGAGGGGGGGGGCGGGTGCCGCCCCCCCCCCATAGGGTTTTTTCACGATAGCTCCAAACACGCTGGCGATAGAGAGCTGAAACTTGGCATACCTGACCTTTGATCCAAGCCAGATCTTTTGACACCAACCGCATTTTCGGGTCAGGTCAGGTCACTGACCTATGACGTCATAAGTGAACCTCTGCACGGTCTTCAGATGTCGCAACTTCGCAACGCTCTCACTGCCAGAGGAGATGTCACAGGGAAATGAAACTTGCAGGATCTAGTATCCATTATGAGTCCCACAACTTGTATATCTCGGATTTTTCCTAAAGGTCATATGAGGTCAGGTCATTTTCGTGACCTCACCATTATAAGTCAATGGGGAAAAATTCAAAATGCTATTCTGGCGCCGGGAACGATCTCCAACTATCTCAAGCACACAGAATCGTGATTTGATGCACTCCTTGCAAGGTTAGATGCGTCACTTTTGCAATGTTGACCTTGCGTGACGTCATTTATGACGTCATCAAGGTCATATTAGTTTTTCGTCAATAACTCTTGATCAAATTAAGCTAGCGAGTCGGGAAAGCCACCAATGGACTCAGGAAGACCTGCCGAATCGAATGATATGCGACATGACCTCTTTCGACCAACTTCGTGACCTGGGGGTGCTGACCTGACCTTGACCTGAGGTCAACACCCCAAGTTGACCTGACCCGGACAAAAAGTATATCATTCGACGCGCCTGAGCGAGACGAACACGATGCTGCCAAAATCGGCGCTCTGCGGCCGTTTTTTGCGAAGTTATTCACCAAAAACTGAACCGTACCTTGGGGCACTTGACCTGACCTCAGAGGTCACCGGTTGACCTAGGACCTTAAAATCGGGTACCAATCTCTGCGTCTCGTAACGGCGCACACGCTCGTTTTTTCCGCGACGCGCTAGCTCCACCAGGGGCGAAACGGCGAGGGGGGGGGTCGTACCTGCCCCCCCCCCCCCTCGGCCGGCGCGTATGTAGAAAACCAATAGGTCCGGCGAGGGTTAAAACCTTTCTGACAAACACTGCAGGCTGGACATGATTGCAAACTTTTTTAGGACTGGTCAGTTAACTTGACCTGGTGACCTGACCTGACATGACCTGGGGTCAAAAATTTCACACATTGTGTAAAATTGATGTACAAAAAGCTATGCCAAGCGGCGCGGCGCTACGCGCCGCGGTTTTTTATTTATACGCAAAAAACGCGACAGGGTGGTAACTGGTAACATATGCCCCCCCCCCACTGGGGCGAAGGTTACCTATACTTCGTAGAAGGTAGATATCCTAACTCCGATTTCTTACATTTATGACCTAGGGTAGGTAAGATCAGATAAATGACCTCACCAAATGCCCGTTTCGGGGACCCATTTCCTCCCCCTCCCCCAAAGGGTGAGGGAGGGGGCTCCAGAGCTGGTGTGAGGGTTGGCCCTCGCACTTAGGGGGTCGGATGGACCCCCCTCTCGGTTATTCGCAAATAACTCTGCCGAAAAGCGGCTGATCACGACGAAAATTTTAGTATCCCTCGAATTGATAAATTTTACACCTGCTTTGAAAATTTCATGATCCTGACCCAAATGACCTTTGGCCTGTGACCTTTTTCTCGAGACCATGTTTGGCCTGAATCAATCGCGATTCGGCGCATGTCAGCTCACATTATCCGCGCGTTTCCAGCCTTGTTGTCACTGTAAACGTTCAAACACGTGAAGTGATGTTGGTCACATGCATTATGTTGGGTTTCAAGGTCATGCGAAAGGTCAGGTCAAGGTCAGTGACCTTCGATGACCATGGATCACTTTCTGAAGTTTTACGTGTTTCTGGGGTAGCTTTTTAGCTGATTTCGAATTTGGCACCCATTTGAACATTTACATAGTAGTTTTAGTGCCTTCGTAACATGTTACGAAGCTGCCAGTGACTCAGTGGTGGTTAACACTATGGATAGCCGGCAGTACGCCTACTGGTTGACCTGACCTGACCCGACCTGACCTGGCTTTATGCTTAAGGACATCGTCTGTGATCAAAACTAACATGATATTCGTGATCAGCACCCCGGAAAACCCCTTAGCAGCCACGCTTCAGGACGCTCTACCAGGTCCCGATTTTCCCGACTTTTAGGTCATTGACCTGACCTGAAAGGTAAACTAATGACCTAGGACCTTAAAATTGGGTAAAATCGGTTTTTTTTCGCGAAGCTCTAGCTCGGACAGGGGTCGACCGGCAAGGGGGGTCCCCCCTCTATACATTCGACGCTGTAAAACGCCGCACACAGGCGAGGGTTAACCACGCAGGCGGTGGGCCTATTGGCCACCTTCCGCGCGGTGGGGGAGGAGCATTTTTTTTGCTCTCCCCCCTCCGTATCTCCGAAACTAATTGACAGATCCGATTCAAACGGCGTTCGATATCCCAGTGTCAAATTTGTCAAGGTTACTCCAATTTCATTAACCCGCGCATGACTGGGGTATCTTCCATAACGCGAGTGACTAATGGGGGGGGGGCTCTCCATAGAGCCCCCCCCCCCTCATATCTCCGAAACTACTGGGCCGATCGTCAAAATTCAAACGGCGTCTGATAGCTCTGGAAAAACTGTCGATCGAAACCTAGTTTCATTGACCTCGAGGTTACCGATGACGTCACAGGTCAGGTCAAAGTAAAAATTATCGGCATATTTGCTTGTTTACAATTTAGGCTCTAGCCACCGGCTGACAAGTCCGATCAGGCTCATTTTTGGTTTACGCACTCCTTGATATATGCCGTAGATACCCTGATGGTACCGAACTTTTACTTTGAATTTTTTTCAGGTCAAGGCCAGGTCATCCTAGGTCACGAAAATTGTATATGATGTATCGGTCACGTGACGCATGTTGTATGGTCCATTTTACACGTATATTTCGAAAATAATGTATTCTGTGTCATTTGAGGTCATTTTCAGCTGAACTTACCGGAGGTCAGGTCAATTTCAGGTCAGAAAAGGTCAAATTTTGAAAATGAAATTTTTCAACCAAAAAGGTGCCTATCAGATGCAGTATGAGCTCAGGAACACGATGGTGCCATTTATATGTTGTACGACGTTAAAAAGGTACTGCAAAATGGTTTTGAAACATATGCCTATAATTGTAAAATTTTGACAATAATGCAAATAACTTGGCTATGTTTGAGGATATTGGGCTAAAACTTGCTAGAGTAGTTCATCAATGTGTGTTCTATGACATATACCTATTCCAGTTTTTGCGAAAAATCTAAAACTTTTTTAGGAAAAAAATAAAAATACCTATGTTTTTTTGTAATAACAAAAACATATTTTTAGAAATTTTCAAAATTTCAAAAATTCGAGATAACAGTTTGATAGCTACGGATATTTGTAGTCCACTGATGCAACGAAACTGGATCTAGCTTCAAAACTAAGTTATTGAGATCGTTTGCCGTAATTCAACATTTTGCATCAAAATCGGCCATTTCCGGCCAACGTGTCAAAGGCTTTGGAAAAAAATTGTCAAAATGTGTAAAAGTTATGCCCAGGAGGGTATTGAGAGTTTGGTGACAATCGGCGCAGTTATATCGAAAAAAACTAAAGGGGTAGGGCAAAAATGCCCCCCCCCCCACCGCCTGAAAGGTTAAGTTGTTGTTTTGTTTTAGGTCAACCGGTAGGCTCAGAATGTAGGTCGTCGACCCAAAGGTTAGCCTTTTGCCTTCAATAGGCAAATAGTTTCACAAAAAAAAACTATCATAGATGACCGAGTTTGGTACAGTTGTGTGCGTCATGTCGAACTGCATGGATTGCTGCCTATGTAATCGTGCTGGTAATAAGTCAATTGGAGCGTTGATCTCAGTTCAAAGTCGGATCATTGTCAGACGGCTAAGATAGTAGTTCCGTTATGCTGGTTGAAGGGTAATAGTGCGCCAGCTCATTTTCAGCTAATTAGCACCCCAGAGACTCTGTCCTAAATTACATCGGGAGATATTATCGAGAAATTCCGATGATCTTCAAGCGGTTGGACATGTTGAAGGCATACTCGTAGGTATGTTCGTCTAGCTGACACTACTTTTGTCACTGTTCGAATATCGTTTCATTTTCATTGGTTTGATTAGTAGTTTGGCACACTGAGAGGTCAGGCTCATTGCTAGTCAACCATTTAGGTCGAGTTAGATGGCACAGCACCATGCACGCACATTGCACAGTGCACACTGCACACAACCAAAGCTGTTTAGTCGCTTACTTGTTGGTTCGATCTCGTTCCTTCGCGTTGGCGAACACGCGCACTGGTCCGGTGAGCTCCGCTGCAGCGCCGTAACAGTCGGGGCCGGGACACAGGTCACCTGGACTGACCTCCATAGCCCTCTGTCTCTGCACTCTGACACCTCCCGCACAGCACACAGACGCCCCGCGGCGCGCACCCGTATCCCTCTGCGGGCGACCGGGGCGGCGCGCCGGGTCAGGGCGCGTGACGTCACCGGCCGGGCCCCGCCCCCGGCGCCGGCCGCCTCCGGCTCCGCCGGCTCCCCTTACAGAGGGGTAGCCGGATCGCCGTCCGTCGGGCGTGAGCGGTCGACGGACGGCGATCCGGTTACCTATAATGGTGACTAATGTCCCCCCCCCCCGCCGGGAGGGAGTGGCGTCCGTTTGAGAGCGGTTACGGTCTGCGAGACGTCTACTTTACTTGTGGGAAGAGACTTTTTACGAGGGAGCGCTAACGATATTTCCGCCATCAGTTAAATGACACTGTTGGACTGAATGGCTTACATTTTTTATAGACCCGAATTCCGTATGACATTTCAGTTGCATAATGCATATAAGGCAGATGTTCTGGAATTGTTTCTTATTGCTTGCTTCACCTACGATTTTTTTTCACATAGCCTTTCCGGCCCCATGTCTGTTATCGACGCCCGTCGGAAAGTACGTCCTATTCGGAAGGCTCAGCGGTCAGCGCCGCTCCAGAGCACCGTTGACCACGAACAGAGCTCACTGCCCGGACCGAGGGCCGACTGGATCCACTATCCACCGTCCAGTCTTCATGCTCGACGCCTACCCCACAGGGAAGTCGCCGCTGTCCTGCAGTCCCCACACCGCCGCGCCGACCGGCACGGCGCGGCGGCAGGAAGGGTCGCGCGCAGGGCTCGCCCGGAATGCCCTTGGAAAACAAACAGGGCCTCTGGTGAGCCGTCGGTGACAGACCCCAGAGGCTGGGAGATCGGCTCTGCTCTCACGGCCGTGTGTGAGGTCGTCCCGGCGACCCGTGATCATTACAGCCAGCTACAATGCTGGATATGCGAGCCGGCGACGGCCTGTGGTAGTTATTAGCTTGCCGGGCAATGTCAGGCATGTGCGGCGGCGTCCTCATGGCCCCATTGGGTTGAAAGGGGTGGTCGGTAGAGCGAGCTCCTTGTAATGTCACAATAAGCTGATAGCTAACTACATAACTACTGGAATGTTTGGAGGTAATTGTAAATTGCCTTTGGCTGTTCTATTTCTTTATTATTGAATATTTATATTTGAAGTCACATTTCATACGAATTGGTTGACGACGCTACGCCATGGCATGCTTCCCATTAGCAATACCTACTTGAGCCCCTGTGGCAGCGGATGAGAGAAAAACTCACGGCGTACACCTTCACCGCCAGCTGGCGGAAAGGATCATGCCATCAGATTCCTGATGCGCTCTCCCGTGCACCGGTCGACGACCCCTCGATGGAGGACGAGGTTGCTGAAGTCACCGAACCCGACCCGCTGCATCTGTCCGTGGTCACGGCCCTTACTGCCGTCGATGCAGAAGGGACACTTCTTGCGCCCCTGCAAGACAAGACGCTGGAGATGGTACGAGCCGCAGCGTCACGAGATCCCGAGTACACCGCGCTCCGAGACCTCATCATTCACGGGTTCCCCGATGAGAAGCACCGTCTCGACCCGTCCGTCCGTCCGTACTGGAACGTTCGAGACAAACTGGCCATCGATGACGGACTCATCGTATATGGACCTCGGCTCCTGATCCCACAAGAGCTCCGGAGAGAAACACTGCAACGACTTCACGATGGACATCAGGGCATCAACGCCACCTGCCGGAGAGCCCGCCAGACGGTCTACTGGCCGAGATGCGACTCCGATATCAAGCAGTGCGTGATGTCATGCGCACGCTGCAGCATCTACCGGTCTGCCCAGCCTAAGGAGCCCCTGTGGCAGGACGATTCGCCGCCCACACGGGTGTTCGAGTCTGTATCGGCCGACTATTTTCACTACGGAGGACGAACTTTCCTCGTCTACGTCGACCGTCTATCTGGCTGGCCATACGTGACGTCATGCCCCCGAACGGCTTCCGCCGCTCACCTCGTGACCGAACTGCGGGCGCTGTTCGCAGCCACCGGCGTGCCGGCGCTCCTCCGGTCTGACGGAGGCCCGCAGTTCACCTCAGGCATCCTCCGCCGGTTCCTGACGCGGTGGGGGGTGGACCACCGTATATCATCACCTCATCATCACCAGGCCAATGGCCACGCAGAAGCTGCAGTAAAGAAGCTGAAGAATCTCGTCCGGAAAGCGACCGACGAAGGAAACCTGGACTCGGATGAATTCGCACGCGCCTTACTGGAGCTGCGAAACACGCCCCGCGCTGACGGCCGCTCACCAGCGCAGACTCTGTTCGGGCACCCAATCCGCACAGCTCTGCCCGTCCACCACAGGACGTTTGCCAAGGAGTGGCAAGAGGCGGCAGACGTGTGCGACGCCCGAGCAGCCGACCTTCGAAAGAAAGCGAAGCGGGACTACGACATCTCCGCCAGGCCACTAGCGCCGCTCGCAATGGGCGACCACGTGGACGTGCGGGACCCGCAGACCGGACAGTGGGACCGGACCGGCATCGTCGTGGGAATTGGAAAACGCCGCGACTACCTCATCAAAGTCCCGAGCGGGAGAATCTGGTGGCGCAACCGGCGCTACCTGAGGCGCCACCATCCGCTGATCGTCGCCGCGCCGTCTGCCGGTGACCGAGATCCGTCGCCGCCGACGCGTGCCGCCTGCCGCTCAGCCGACCAGCGACCTGCCGAGCAGACGGACGAGCCGGCGCCGCCTTCTAGCTGCGCCGGACCGGCACCAGGACCGCGCCGTAGTGAACGAACTCGCCGTGTGCCGAACCGACTGCGGGTTGGGTGGGGCACGTGTACTTATGACACGGGGACTGGGGGAGGTGTGTCGTAAGGGTTTCCCTTCAACGTGAAAGTTTCCCTTCAGTTGGAATCCCCGTGTGCTGACGAGGCAAATACAGTCGAGACGGAGACGCGGTCGTGTGCGGTTGGTGTGCGGTGCGTGCTGCAGGGGACGAACCAAATATCGTTATCGTTTAACAGACAGTAACGTAACAATTATTGAATATTTATATTTGAAGTCACATTTCATACGAATTGGTTGACGACGCTACGCCATGGCATGCTTCCCATTAGCAATACCTACTTATTTGGTCGGTTCTTCCGGGCTGGGTAATTAAAACAATAATAATCACCGTTTGGCGTTTAGCATGGTTGTGGGAACTGAAAATCAACATTCACTAACAGCTAGAAGCCACCCTTGCTCGCCCGTGCGGTGATGATTAATGGTCACAGTCAGGTCTCAGGCATCCTTTGACAATCAGAGGCGGGCGGGTCTGTGGTGATAGCCTCAGCCTGCGCTCACTGACGATCGGAAGTCCCTTCCTCCATCCGTGCCCCTCCGTCCGTGCCCCTCCATTCACCCGCAGTGGCGGCCGGCGCTGTTTGCGTTCTGCGGCCGCTGAGCGCGACTCCAGACGCCGGCGGAGCTGGGAAGATCGTCAGAGCTGGCGGCGGCGCTGCTCGCTGACAGCTCAGCGGTCATCAGCGGAGCAGGCGCACCGCCGGCCGTCAGCGGCTCAGCGCCGAGACCCGCCGGTGGACACACAACATACGTCAGCGGCGCTCCCCTCCGGCCCTCAGCGCCGGCCCTCAGCGCCGGGTGACGGGTGATGAGTGTATCTCAAACAGCACACTTGGCCTCGCCAATAATAATCAAACGTGTATGACTGCTTCCACTTCTTACCCGCATTTTACTACATATCTTTAACGAGTCAAAGTCTTTCCCAGCCAGGAACGTGACGAGGAGCGAGACCTCAAAAAGCGGATTTCCCTGTTTCGTAAGTCGTTTGCATTTTATAGGTGACTCACGGCTTGTGCTGAACAGCTGGAATACCCAAAGAAGTTTCCTTGTCTGAATTACGTGCATTGGCTTGAAATCAGAAAATGATTCAAGAAACCGCCACACATATTACGATTTAATGGTATCCGACCCTTGGGTTTTGACTGAGTGTTGTACAATTAGTTGCTAGGGATTGGTAAGAGGTAAAGGCATACCTACCTATCGTATTCAATTAATCATTTCATTATCCACAATTAGTCATTTCATTACCCACACGCGTTCAACTCTGCATGCTGTATTTATGCGCCATAAAACCCGCCACTGAGTCCACTCATCACGAGTAAAACAGTCGTAACCTGAGGTTTGCGATCGACGCTCACGCCCCACAGTGGGCCAGGCGCATCAAAAAAGCGGAATTAAGTCGAAAATCAACTTCGGTGAAATTCCTGTAATTATGGGATAGAGTATTGTAAAAATGTCCAAAGTTTCCGAATAAGCAAGTTTCCTTTCCCCAATGTCAAGGCAGATAATGCTATAACGTCGCAAAGTAGGACTTACCGACTGGAGATGGAAATGACTGCTGTGTACCATATTCCGTTCCCCCGATTCAAAAGCTCTCAGCGTAAAATCATTTAAGTTATTCCGTACAAAATCGCTTTAAAAAAACAGCCGGTATTTCTGCGCATGTTTCTCGTACTCAAGTTCCCGGGAACTATTTCAAGCTTACTAGTAGCGGTGGGGTTTACAGTGCCTGTTCGGAACCGTGGTAGTGCAACGACGCAATGAATTTATATAAGGATATAAAGAAAACGTCACCGAACAACACGAAGATATTTGCTGCCTGACTTTCCTCAAGGTGTATAGCTTGCTGCCCAATGCAAATATTTTGCGCATTTTTGCGCGAAATGGACAACTAAGGGTTTAACCCTCGCCGGCATAGGCCGTTTTGCATCCCTCGACGGCACGGGGGGATGCGACCCTCCTCGCGTTTGGCCCCTAATTGAGCTAGAGCCTCGCGGAAAAAAACCATCGTGTAGGTCGTCACGAGACGAAGCCAACGGTACCCGGTTTTAAGGTCATAGGTCAAATGGTGACCTCTGAGGTCAGGTCAATGGCCGAAAGTCGGGACCTGTTCGAACGTCGTATAGTGTGGCTGCTAAGGGGTTTTTCGGGATGCTGATCACGAATATCATGTTAGTTTTGATCACAGATGATGTCTTCATACATTTAGGCCAGGTCGGGTCAGCTCAGGTCAGGTCAACCAGTAGTGG